TACCGAGACAAATCCGTGAATGGCTCTTCGTTAAATATCGGTAATTAAAACGTCCGAAACGATAAAAATTGCTGAATGTATGATAATATTCGCGTCGAGCAATAGGAATGTTTAATGGCTGCGTTAGTAAATGAAATGTACGCGGCTCGGATTGTTTAATTTATTGCTTTTAAATTTACTTTATACTACGAAAATTACGATTTTATGTTACAAAAAAAGCTATTTTGTGTCGAGCGATACACCAAATAAGGGTGGAAAGTAAATAAAACCGTGAAGTTGAAAAATCATAGGTACTTAATCATCTCGGATTGTTTGTACGTCTCCCCGTTTCTTGTTTAACTAAATATTTTTCCAGATGAGACTTAAGTGTATGTTCTAACAGACGGAGTGATTTACGCTGTTTGGAAATATTAGGTTCAAGGGTATGACTCGAGTAAACTTTTATTACGTTAATTTCAATACTGACGTACATTCATGGGATGTTCCTGATGGGGTAAATTGCTTCCAATAAATACCTATGAGAGAAACTTTTAGGTCTTATCGATGCATTAAACAGTAGTAAAAGCTATCATAATACATTATTTTTACAATCAACAACGGTTTTATCAGTAAGGGTCTCGAGAGTGTAACGAAATACCGGCCTTAATGCTGTTTTCGCTTCTTTTAAAATCGAAGAGATAAGACGATTTCCTTCCAGGAAGTAGCGGCAAAACCGCCTTCAAAGAATAGCACGTTCCTAGACAATTTAGACAATAACCGAAATTAGTTTTACCTGTTACTATTACAGAATATTCTTATACAGCACAGTCTATCTAGTGGAATAATCTCGTAAAGTAAATACGCTTTTACATTGATTTTGCTCTTTAATGGTTACGGCTTGTTTGCTCCGCCATTTAATCATTTCGATTCTTCTCGCTAATAAACCTTCTAATTTACTTACAGTTTAAATAATAAAATGATAATTATTTTAATGAACGAATAAAACGCTTACGCGTTACGCGTTTTACGAGCCTATGTAAGATATAAACGGAATAAATCGATTTTAATTAATAAAAAATCGAATGGTGTAATAAAATTCGATTTTACTGAGATAAACTCGTGATAAATTGCGGCGGAAAAGGATCCCAAAATTTTTTGATAACGATGAAAGTATCTAGTTTATACAACAAAAAATAATCCTTCCGATATGCAAGATTAAAATCGACTTCCTTTTGTAGAGCTTGTACCGACATTACTGCACAAAAATACAGGATTAATTATGTAAAACTTTCGACCAATTAAATTACGTATAGTAAGTCGATTTTACTGGTTTTGCACGTTAATAACTCAAAGTATTACCTAATTAAAATGTTGTATGCATAAGACGATATATGTTACGCGTATTTTTAATGTAAAAATCGCTAATGAGAGTAAGATTAGGGCAATTTATGAATGGGAATGAAGGTCGCTGTTTATTCTAATACTAAATGCTCCAATAGTTCAGTATTGAAATAAAAAGAAATTATAAACCAGTCCCGATATATGGTCGATTGAATTATTATAATTTAGAATACGCACCTGAACAGGCAGCGGGTAATAAAACATTTCATGCATTTCCTGCATCTCTGGCTTTCGAATATGAAATTAATGAAAATGGGTTTTGTAGTTGAAAATAAAATTCGTATTGTCGGTGTTTATTTGTTTGTTTGTTCGCTTTTCGATCGAAAAGGAAAACTCCGGAACGTCGTTTCCTCTGCGATATTCCAGTTTTGTTCCATCGATCGCCGAAATCGCCGTATAGAAGGAAAAAACTGGGCCAGTGTGGAAATAAATAACTGGATTCATTCGAAAACAAAGGCCATCATCCCCGAGTAATGTTTTCACATCTACTTTTCAAAAGAACCTTTCAAGAATTTTGTAAAACGTACACAGTTTTAATAATTATTTCACAAGGACTGGTGATATTTAACCAACCCATCCTGTGAATTACCAATAACTATTGGACTGGAAATTATGGGAATACGATTCTGTGTCATTAACTAGTATATCATGTGTGTCATTTATGTTCCTGTTGCTCTTTGATAATAAATTGTTGTTTTCTATCGATTTCAACGTTAAATATCAACGATACTTTTGCTATTGTGATGTTGTGAGTAACGATCTATTCATAATTTAATTTATTTCGACAACTCAGGATTCGCTTTTTATTTTCAAGTAAGTAACGACAATTTGAAACCACCACTAAAGTGGCATCTAATAAAGCCATTGGAATATTATTGTAGATCCCAAAACAAGAATATTTTTTTTGCAATGGAATTTAAATTAATACTAATTAGAACCTCAGCTCTCGACACCTCTGATTAGAACCGCTTCCCAACAATTAACTAATTAAATGCAAAAGAAAATATCCTCAAACTAACGACGCTAACGGTTAAAAAATTCTAATTTTCACAGCCAATTTCGATTCAACCGTCGCATTTAATCGCCTTTATTCGAGCCAATTCCGAATGGAAAGCGTACGAACTCTCAAGCACTATACTCATTTATTAATCGCTGGCGCCCGTAAGTGCCATATTGTACATAATTATAAAAATCAATCAATAGATCATCCAAAACCACTCTAACGGACACATATCGACAAACGAGAAGCGCTGAGTTAATTTATCAGTACCGGGTCGTCTACTACACTTTTTGTACTGCTATAGGTATTTCGAGTGCACCGGAACTCCACAACGAATTTACCTAAGTTTTAATCAGATACTGGAATTTCGCATCAAAAATTTTGTTATCTGCCTGCTGCACTAATCCCACGCGAGAATTCCCCAAGTCTCTTCTAAACACTCTTTAGTCTCTTCTATATTCTCTAGTGACTCTAGTCTCTTCTACTCTCTATGGGTACTCTTTATTCTCTTGTGTCTAGTCTCTAGTATCTACTTTATACTCTCTTGTCTATACGTTCTATTCTCCAGTCTCTAAGTCTCTAGTCTCTAGTCTCTACTCCACTCTTATCTATTCTACCCTGCACCAATGCACCTCTACCAATGTATTTTGGTTCGCATTGAATAACAACAAAAATTTTTGCTTTTAATTTTTAACACTTGATCTATAAATGATCATTTCCCCATTACTTATCCACATCATTTCCCCATTATTTCTCCAATATTTCCCAATTATTCCCCCAGTTTCTGCCATATACCCCACCAAATTTTCTCCCATGTTTGCCACGCATTTTCCCCCACATTTTCCACCATATTTCCTCATATTTCAAAATTTCCCAGAGTGTTGAAAATAAATTAGTATAAATATAGTTTTCGGAAACTCAGTTAGGTATTTCTGTGGGGTATTCCGATGAGGGATAAAGGCTAAAGTACGACTAAAAAAGAGATATTATTATGGATTTTTGTGAAGAATTCCGGTGCACCGGGTATTTCTTATGGGAAGGACACGAATAGAACGTTCCTTTTGAGCGCGACATTTACATATTATTATTATTCTCGATTACATTAGAGCTTAAAGCGACGGGCCCACTTGAATTGCGACTTGTGACAGCGATGGCGGCATATTAAACGGCCGCTCTCCTCTTGCTTGTCACTCAAACCCGGCGGTTTTTTTGATCTATTTTCGCGAAAAAAAATCGCTGATTAAAAAATGCACCTACCGAAACGGTTTTCGCGGGCGTGCGCAGGTAAAAAACGGCTCGTATTGTTAACCCGCATATAGATGTGGGTAATTATCCGGCAATCGGAGAGGTTCTTCGATCACTTAATTATTGTTTGTTGCCGGACACTTATAAGGTTGATTTAAAGTTTTCCTACTCTGTAATTACACCGTGCAGACGAACGATTAAAATTATTAATGACCCAAACGGAGGTACGAATTATATAAGGATGTCTTAATCTGTTGTTTTCCATGTAAATCTTTCTTATAATTGCTGATAGATCTGCGGAATGATTTTTATGATTTGAATTTTACTAAGTACTATGTTTTTTTCTCTAGAGCAGACTAAACTTGGAAATACTCTAGTGCTGAGGAAATACAAAAAAATCGATTAATAGTCCGAGTTGGAAAATAATATAGGTTTTCGTAGAAATGTGGCCGGTTAATATTTCCTTTGTTTTAATAGTATATCCGTTGGCAAACACCTATAAAACACATTAGAGACCATTACATCAATACGCAAACATTATCATTAATATACAGTTACGAAGACCACCAACAGGATCGAAAAAAATGTTTAATAGAGTTCGTTACAATTAAAAGTGTTTAGAGTTTGTATTTCTCTCCGCAGAAACCACATCTTCAGAAATAGTCGAATTGTAACTAGTATTTTCATTTTATATTACTTGTATTCAAAAGCTTTGTGCTTCATTAAGCTTTTTACCTTCATATTGTAAATAATTTGGAATAAATTAAATCGTCCATAAAATAATTATTATGGCATAACAACTTATGCCTACTGTGTATGTAAACTGTGTTGCCTAACTGCAGGAATTTTTCAAAAAAAATGAACAATTATTTTCAGCGGTACTTGTTCAATTAATACTCGAACGAGTACTTTAGAAAGGATACAAATTCCTTCTAAACGATTTTTTCCGTGATTGACTAATACAAATTAATTTCTTCAACTTTAAAAAATATAAGGAGTGCCTCGAACAACGCCGATAAGAATTTGAAGGAAACCCACGTTAATATGTTGGTTTTACAATTAAGCCGGTACCATTTTCCCATTGATTTTGATTTCATGTTTTATTTACATAACTGTAAAAGGTACCTTCCTTAATCCTTCATCACGAAATTTTCTTTTTTAGTAGATACATTTCGTTACGGAAACTACAAATCAATATTTTTAAATTGGCGTAAAATAATTAATTAGAACTACAGTTAGATCAAATACACAATTTGAACAATTAAAAAAGAAGTAGATTAAATTTGGCAACAACGCAATTTTTGTCCTGTAATTAGACTGTAATAATACGGCAACGTGGCTTGAAGGTCAATTGACGTTTACCAAATTGACGGTTGACTTTGACGTTTCTTGTTTTTTTAGTTTGACAACTCTATAAATAATTTAATGAATACTTTTACTTAAATTTGGATTTTTAGAATAGAGAAGGTAACATTCATAAGATATTTCGTTAATAGAACTAATGTAGTGGTCGCGCCAACAATTCCCGCTGGTAAACGCCGCAATGTGACAAAATAATCCAACGTCACTTTTTTTTGTTATTTAACACGTGCCAAAAATATTAAATCCTTGCTTCTATAAAAAAATTGATAATATTTCGTGTACAACTTTTACGATATCGTTCAGTTTCTCAACTGTACGTTAGCTCGCGCGTCTCTCGCATTTTCTAATTAATTTCCTCTGTTCCAGGTCGTAATTTTGAGCAATGCACAATATAAACGCAGAGGGCCATTTCGGTAGCGTAAATGGAGCCAGTAACGCCGAAAAAGTTTGCATCCTAGATGCCGGGGCGCAATATGGAAAAGTTATCGACAGAAAAGTCAGAGAATTGTGCATTGAATCTCAAATTATACCTTTAGATACGCCCGCTTTCAACATCAAAGAAGCGGGCTACAAAGCCATTATTATATCCGGGGGGCCGAGCTCAGTCTATGCCGAAGATGCCCCCCGATACGATGCTGATATCTTCAGAATAGGTCTACCTGTTTTAGGTAAGGGTTAATCATTTTTTTTATATGAACTATAACCGTTATCTAGATGGTTCAAACTACTTCAACCCGATTGTTTCCAAGGTTGCCATTTCGTTTTTTAGATTTTGTTTTTCATTTAGAGATTTCTTATCTCTTAAGAAAGTTGTTTAGATTCCAGTTTTGGAAGCTCTATCTAATGTATGTACGATTTTAACAGTAAATTTTTATTAACTTTACGATTGGTAATATGATATATTATTGCATTGAGTAATTGTTTATGAATTTACTATCTTATCGTAAATTTCATAATTGTAGTTATTATGATGATCTTTAAGATTTTTATTAATTCCTCCTAAATATAAATTTATTTTTTTAAGGAATTTGTTATGGAATGCAGATGATGAACAAGGAATTTGGGGGTAGCGTGATAAGGAAAGAAACTAGGGAGGATGGAGTTTTCACGATTGAAATCGACCCTAAATGTTTATTGTTCAAGTAAATAACACATTGCACTAATGCGAAAAATCACCGTGTACTAATTTCTATGTATTTAGGGGTTTGGATAAAATGCAATCGGTCCTTCTAACGCACGGCGATTCCATAGAAAAAATAGCTGAAAATTTCAAACCGATAGCTCAAAGCGCCTCATTTTGCGCCGGCATTTGCAACGAGAAATTGCACTTGTACGGCGTCCAATTCCATCCCGAAGTAGATCTATCTGTTAACGGTAAAACCATGTTAAAAAATTTCCTGTTCGACGTAGCCGGTCTAACCGGAAACTATACCATGGACGGTCGAGAAAACGACTGTCTAAAATACATTAAAGATACTGTAGGTGAGTTAATTCACTACACACACACACACACAAGTATATAATGTATTGATAATGTGTTAATATTTTAGGAAACAACAAAGTTTTATTACTGCTTAGCGGAGGTGTGGATAGTACAGTATGCGCAGCATTACTCCACAAAGCTTTAACCCGCGATCAAATCATAGCCATACACATAGACAACGGCTTTATGCGGAAAAACGAAAGCACTAAAGTGTACAATTCCCTTCTGAAAATCGGGCTCGACGTGAAAGTGATCAGGGCCGCATCGACCTTCATGGAGGGCACCACGATCGTGCCCGTTGACAAGCCGGAAACGAATCGAACGATGGTAACGAAGATGCTGTGCAACACCTCGAATCCCGAAGAGAAGCGCAAAATCATCGGCGACATATTCGTGAAGATCGCCGACGAGATCGTCGCCGATCTCAATCTCAAAGCCGAAGAGGTGTACTTGGCTCAGGGCACGCTCCGGCCGGATCTCATCGAATCCGCCTCGAAGTTGGTCTCGTCCAAAGCCGATACAATCAAAACGCATCACAACGATTCAGAACTCATTAGGAAACTTAGGAACGAAGGTACGTTACCTACCTCGCACTGTTTTTATACAATTTTAATGAATTGTTTGTTTTTAGGTAGGGTCGTAGAGCCCCTGAAAGACTTCCACAAGGACGAGGTGCGAGCAATAGGCCGGGATTTGGGCCTGCCGCCGGAGATCGTGATGAGGCATCCGTTTCCGGGGCCCGGCTTGGCGATCAGGGTGTTGTGCGCCGAGGAGCCCTACATGGAAAACGACTTTTCCGAAACTCAAGTGTTAGTGAAAATTATAGTGGAATTTCATCAAATGTTGCAAAAGAAACACGCGCTATTGAATAGAGTCGAAGGGTTCATTAGCGACGACGAAAGGTCAGTTAGTAGATTAAATTCTGCGGGTATAGATGTTGAATTTTTGTCAAAATTGAGTTATCGGTACCACCAAATTCCTCTTGAGAGCTACAAGATGATGGAATATAACAGTAAATTTTACCAAGCAACTACTTAGTGCAGAAATTTGAGTAAATTCGAGAATTTTGACAGTCATTCAACCTTAAAATAACCCCTGTAACATTTAATAAACCCAGCTATCAAGGTATGGGATCTATCTACAGACTTATACTTGATAGATGTTCCTTGACTCGATGGTCATAACTTAGGAGCTTAGGATGTATCATAAAAACCATAAATTTTACAATGAGCTCATATTTTGTGGTGAATTAGAATACACTAAACTGTTCATATGCCCCCGAAGATAATAGTCCATAGGTATTAGATCTGTTGATTTCCAAGGCCAGTGAACTGGACCTCCTCTACCAATCCACTAATTCTACTAGCCCCTAGTAATACCTCCCTTAAGCTATGTCCATCGACTCACTAGATACCCTCTGTAGTGCTATCCTAATTATTTATATAGTCTGTGCAAAACAAATATCAATGCACGTCACATGTAATTTACTACGTCACAAGTAGGCAGTGTTGCCGAACTTTAGAGTTTACAAAATCTAAGAGTTTTCTAAAATTGTCGAAAGGTAAAATGGCAATAAATTGAAAATTAGGGGTACTTGTATCACGTTTCTAAACGTTTCCTTTATCATCTGAAATATACAGAGCGAGTAAAAAATTTAGTGTACAATTGACCCTTACAAGAGTACATAGTGAAATTTTTGAGAAAGCTTCTGAATCTTAATTATTTATAGAGCTTAAATTTCTATCATGTGTAAAAGATAACTACTTAAAAGCCTTTAGTAGTTGAGTGCCTACTAACCTACTATAAAAAAAATAATAATTTTATATAGAAACGTTGAATTTTGCCAATATATATTTTTTTGGATGATTTAATCCTGCTTTTTAACATTTTCTATAAAAGTTGATCACAATGTTTGGCAAGTATGACGACAGTAGTGATGTGCATTGATATTTGTTTTGCACCGACTATATGTATATTTTTGGATTGACTTATAAAATGTGTTTTTTTTTAGTGACGCCCTTCGGCAGATATCTAGCAAACAAAAATTAGCGGCAACGCTGTTGCCGATACGCAGCGTGGGGGTGCAGGGCGACTGCCGGACGTACAGCTACGTGGTGGGCATATCGTCGGAGAAGGACCCCGATTGGAACGATCTCTCTTTCCTGGCCAATCTCATACCGAGAATATGCCGCAACGTCAACAGGGTGTGCTACATATTCGGCGGTATCGTCAAGGAACCGTTACCGGACGTGACGCATACGTATCTGACCGGTAACGCGTTGAGTACGTTGCGACAGTGCGACGATATAGCTACGTCGGTAAGTGTGAATCGAATGCCGGTTTCGTTTAACTGATATTTACTGTACGAATTGTTTCTCCTTTGGGCAGCGGCCGAGGATAAGGTATAAAATTTATTATGATTCGGTGGATATTTCGTTGTGTTTGACTTATGTTTTTGATGGAAAATGTGGATTTCTTAGGGGTGTAATCAGTGTTGTTAAAGCTACTTTGTATAATGTAGTTAACTACAATTACAACTACTTGTAAAAAATGTAATTAAATACGTAGTTAAATACATTTTATTCTAAAGTATTTAACTATATATTTAAATATATCGGAATTGTAGTTAAAAGTATTTAAAACTAAGACAAAGGAATTTATATACATTTTGATCGTAAATAACAATTCAGGTACCTTATATAGAAAAAATAAATTATTTGAAAATGTAGTTAAATGTATTTAAGTAAGTTTCCGGACTTACAAACGTAGTTAGTTGGTTATTTAAATACATTAAAAGTAGTTGAACTACATTTTTAACTACTTGTAGTTAACTACTTAACAACACTGGGTGTAATAGGGATTTGAAATAATTTTCTTTTAAAGAAAACAGCTAAGTGATTGTTAGTAAAATATGGATATTTTTCAGATATTACATAGCACCGGACACGCAAGTTCTATTAGTCAAATGCCTGTTGTTCTTATACCGTTACATTTTGATAGAGATCAAGCATTACGGATTCCCTCGTGTCAGAGGTCGATTGTTTTGCGGCCGTTTTGTACGCAAGATTTCATGACCGGAACACCTGCTTTGCCTGGAAAACAATTACCTATAGACGTAAGTATTTTTTATTTTATTTTATCGGTATTATTAATCCGTCGAACGGACACGATTTACTTTATTTTCTAACACATGCTAAATACAGGTGGTTGTAAAAATGGTCCAAGAAGTTGTTCAAATACCTGGAATTTCCAGAGTATTGTACGATTTAACACCGAAACCTCCAGGAACGACCGAATGGGAATGACACGCACTAATTGTAATTATTTTTTGTGAACTAATAATATAAGTTGTTAAGACAAATTGTTTTTGCCGAATTATTTTTCGTTATATTCGACTATTTTCTTTTTTGGTTTATTAAACCAGTTAAATATCATTTGTATTTGGTTTTAATTTTTGATTTACGGGTCATTCGGTCGTAATGAAAGGACAGGAAGATAAGGTCATCAGAAGAATAACATGGGGCTCCTAATAACCCTTCAAACCTTATGTTAGGTTCTGTCGCTACATACAAAAACCCAATATTCATAAAAACCACCAATTTTTTTATTACAATTTTTAAATAAAATAATAATGAACGCTGCATTTTTATAAAAAGAATACTTTTTTTATATATTACAATATTCCATGAATATAATTACATAAGATGAAAATTCAAAAATAAAAAATTTACAAATGGACCTTATTAAATTAAATAAAACCCTGATTCTACCACGTGTTTTTTGAATTAAATTAAACTATTAAATTCTAATAATATGCACAAACGTAAGCTAAATCATAAATAAACTCCAAACAATGAAAACATTTACAAATACCCCAATCCGCGCGTATCGTTTACCAATCATTTTATTCGTTACGTCTCAAACATAAAAAATATATCTCACAGCAATTATACGAGAGTTCATCAATGATAAAAATAAAAAATTTACCAATGCTGCTGAAAAACAACCACTCTATTTGTTTTAATAAAACAATAAAGAATTAATTTCCATTTACAATAGACTCTAAATACACGCAGAGAGGGATACCCACTTTGGTTATAAAAATTTCAAAAAAACAAACAAACTAAACATCCTTTTTAACGATTTCGATAAGCTCGTTCACCGATTTACTTAACATTTCTAAATCATCCACGGGCCCGAACAACTTCCCGCTTTTATCCTCCGCCTTGCCCTTGTCGTCGGTAGAACGCTGAGGCTTCGCATCGCTCTCGCCGCTTTTATTCGAACTCTCCTCCGCCGGCGCCGCCTCTTCGCCGCCTTCCTTCGAACAACCCGCCGCGGCGCTTCCCGCCTTCGGCTCGCTCCGGCTCGCAACCTCTTCGGATTTATCTGCAAGATTCACTCATTAGATTCGTACTCGATTACAAACAAGGCGTTCACCTTTTTTGACTTCCAATTTCGATAATTCCGTTTTAATTTTATTCTGCAACTCCGTCAGCGTTTTGAACAGCAACGGCGGCGCCACCGCCTCGGGGCTTTTGTACACTAAAATCAACGCTCTCACGTCTCCGGTGAGTCTTTTGGCCACTTTTATAACGTTCAACGAGTCGATTTGCTCGCTGAGCGATACCACTGTGTTATCGATCATCGTCAACGTTTGTTCCGATAAAACGTGCGCCGATACCTGAAACAAGCAATTTTACTATAAAGAGACGCAATTCACCTTGAAATCAGTATCGATACTTGTATCTGTATCATATAAAGGGCCCCATTCATACTGAGATGAGTTTCGATACTTGAACCTGTATCATAAAGGATCCCTTTTCAAGTTGTGATGAATATCGATACTTGTATCATAACTGCTCATAGACGTTGAGATGGACTTATGAAACATCAGTTCATATTCATCATACTAATTCAGAGACACTGAGGGAAACGAATACACTGAGACTTGTGTCGAAATATTGATACTTGCGACAGGTACAGATCTCAACGCGAATGAGGCCCTTTATACTGCATGGAAATTGTATAATTGTAAACTTACTTTCGGGAAGAAGACGGTCAAGAATTCGTAAATGATATCCACCGTTAAAGCGGATCGTTCGTAGAGCAACACAGCGTCGACGTAATCGACGAAATAATTACAATTCGTTAACATATTTATATATTTTCTATCGATATTCTGAAATAAAAAAGATTGTATTACAAGAAGGAATAGAGAATATTGGGGGTGTTACGTACTTGGGCCTTGTATATGTCCAACCATAATTTGGGAAAATACGTGGAATGTAAAGGAACAGCCTCGAATCCGACGACAGCGCTTAAATTAATCAGTACTTCAGGAACAGAGTCGTTATTCACAGCTAACCTAAATATGACATCGATGAAATCGTGATATGGACCGTAGAATTTGTCTAATGCCGCATCGTATTCCGCATCAACGCCCTATAAAAATACATTTGTTCACTTCCACCCAAATTTTCCCACTGTTATAATTACTCACCCTGCTGCACTCTAGTTGATTGTGGGGCACGGTCATCTGGACCATGGGCCTGAGCGGCCTCGCGCCGCCTTTGCTCGTCAATATCGGCAACGAATGGCCCTTCCTTGGGAAATACGGACCCAACGGCACGGCGTCCTGGCTATCCTGAAACGCCGAATGGCAGTGCGACAGCAAAGGTACGAGAACGTGCATCGTCTCCGACGTCATTATCACCACGAATTCTTTAAGTACTTCTATACAAAGAGATCTCATTTCCGGCGGATTGTACGTATTCAGCAATGTCGCCAGCTTCCTCAGCACTTCCAGCCAGTCCTTCGTCGCCAACAGGATGCCCCTGGCGTCTTTGCTATCCCTGTACATCCTGATGCATTGCGTCAAATCCTGCATGATGGTCAGTATGTCGAGCATGTCGCCCACGACGTGACAAGCCGTGGCTTCGTGTAACATCAAATGCAAATTTTGGAAACACTGCAAAACGTGCAAATATATTTAACGATAACGAATTTGTTTTTTAATCGACCGCTTACTTCGAAAACAATTTGTAATCCGCCGTTGTAAACTACGTATAATTTATCATCGTTAGTTTCGAGTAATATCCTAAAAGCTGATATTAGAGTACCCCAACTGGTTCTTCCATCGAGACACTAAAAAATTACAATTATACAACGTATTTATTCACTTAATCTATTGTGTGTTACCTGTAAGTATGTCATCAATGTGTTTTTTCTGAAACTGTAAATCTCCCTTTGTTCCGCTTCGGAAGCATCGGGATGTTTGATCACCATCAATTGCATTAGCTTGAACAATTCCTCCACAGCCTATAAAATAATTTTAAAATCTAGTAATTTCGGCTTCTTCCTTCGAAAGGGTTCGATGTTAGGTTGGGTTATTAGGTGAAAACTGCTTACATATGGTAGTCGCGGGATGAATAATTGCTCTTCTAAAACTACTTAGGTACTTTACCTGAGGATATTGAGTCGGGTGCGGCGTAATGTTCTTAAAAGCCCATTGCAAATTCTGGTGTTGGGCCAGGCTCCTAGTGAAAGCCCTCGATTGTTGGCACATCATTCTCAGTAAACCATAATAGGCGGGCAACATCGCCCTATTGTACATCACAATCTCTTGATCGTCATGATCCGCTCTGAAAATCAGCAGATATTATATAGTCACATGAATTTATGGGTAATTGCAACATGGTCAATTCCAAAATCATTTAGATTGCTTTTTGTCCCAGAAGTACATGAGTAAGCGCAAATGTGTTTACAAAATGGTCACACTATCACTTTATTTTTCCTTTATATGAGACTAATGGAAGTCGTCTGTTGCACCACGGACCATATTGTGTACAATTTTGCAATTATCTGTATTTAAATGTACTTACAGAATGTAATTGAAGGCGATGTTCTTAGTGACGTGGGCGTTTTGCAACATCAACTGAATATTCTCCGGGCAATCTGTACACACGTGATTCCAAAAGGCCAATAAGGTTTGTTTGTTGTGATAAGCGGGAATGGACGGTTCCGATAATTTCGGATGAAATAAATGCCACAATTGTATAAAATACTGACCGAACTGTAAATTAAAATAAAATTACACGTTACAAAACAAACCGGGTAGGTATATTTACCATTAGTTTTTCGGTCCTCGAAATACAACAATACATCAATAGCGCGAAATAGGTGGTCAATTTCATCGTGCCGTGCTGTTGCATGTCTGTATAATGCTTAGCAGCCGGTAACAGTCTTAAGAGAGCCGTGTAAATTTGGTGCAAAACCGTTGTAGCTTCCGAAGATAGCTGAGGCTCGCGGTTAGAACGATGCGTAGCCCTGAAACCTTGCCTGAAAGGCGTACTAGGTACCAAAGAAACCAACAAATAACCAGCCGCTGAAATATAAAAACGATTAAGACACTCTCCTCCACGTTTCTCCCTATCGTGTATAAAGAATTGCCTACCCTTTAGGCGCTAAACTTACTATTTCTAACTCTTTGATTGTTATGCGTGATGAGAAAGTGCTCCAGCCAGGAGTCCATGGAGCCGAGCACCCACGAGTGCACCAAGCGGTTCCTGGTGACCTGCAGCGCCAGCCAGTCCAGCGCCAAGTAGGGGCAACACTCGGCGGCGTCCCAGACCTTCTGCAGCACCAGTTGCGTGAAGCACGGTTGCTGCGAGGAATTCTGGGCGCTCGTCTCCGTCAGGAGCGTCAGCATTTTGAAAAACGGCTGGCAGCTCTGGAAATATAACGACATGATATAACTCTAATAATTAGTACACCTTTTCCAGTTGTATTTCAGAAAGCGTCAATTGAATTTAAGAATAGTCACTTATATTTCGGAAAGTATCTGTTGTATTTCAGAATAGTCCATTTGATTTCAGAAATCATCAATTGAATTTTAGAATAGTCAATTGTATTTAAGTAATTATCATTTGTGTTTTGGAAAGTGTCATTCTTATTTCGGAAACCGTCAAAAGGATTTCAGAGTTCCCGTTGGAATGCAGAAATCATATGACAATTATTAACGAAGAAGAAAAACTCAGTCCACTCCAAAATTATTTTTTCGGACTTGAAACAACCTCTTTCCGGAATTGAAATGTTTTTTTTCTGAAATCGAGATTGAAAAGCTAGCTATTGAAGAATTCCGAAATACAAATGATGATTTCTGAAATGAATTGGACTATTTTGAAATTCAAATGATCGTTTCCGAAATCGAACTGACTATTCTGAAATAGAATGGATACTTTCCGAAATATAAGTGACTATTCTGAAATTGAATTGAGACATTCTTAAATGAACCTGACGCTTTCTGAAACTCTGTTGGAAATGGTGTATTTAGTTGTTATCAAATTACCTCCGAATTTCTGGATATGGCTTGGGATATCATGCAGATAATCAGTTGGGCCAATTGATTGTTGCCTTTGCAAATCGAATGGATGAGATTGCGCGTTTGCTGTAAGTTGATGTTGTCTTTGATTTGTTGATAGAAAAACGTGAAACCCTTTCCGCCCACTATAGCGGCGTAGTCCTTTTCGCTCAATTGCAATTTGCCCAGCGAATCGCGGCTTTTCTCCACCAACGATGCTATTAAAGTTATCATTTTGTCCAGAGACGCCGGTTTGTACTTGTCCGATGGTAGAGATACCACTTCTTCTTCCTCTTCACCTTCGAATGAATCAAATAATATAGTCTTATCAATAGAAATGTTAGTATTAAGTTACCTTCGCTAACGTCTACAAATTCGTTGCTCTTTTGGCCCAGGTAAAAGTGTACCATAGAATGAATGGCGCCGACGGCCAGCAAAAACTTGGATTCCTCCTCGCCCATTTTACTGAACTCGTAGAGGAAACCGAAGTATTCGGTTAGATGCTTCAAGTGCGCCTTGGCGCCGTGTTCCATCAGCGAAAACAGGGTTTTTATGAACCTCGTCACGCACGAAGCGTTGCCGATTTTCGCCGGCTCGACGTTGCCGTCGTCGTCGCGGTTCCACTCTTTGCCGTCCTCCATGCGCAAATACAGCTTCGCGTGCGACTGCTTCAGCCTCTGTATGACGTGTATGCACAGCCTTTGGAACATTTGCCTGACCATTTGATTGGGGCATTTCAGTAGCACCTGTACGGGCCACCAAGTGTCCTGGGCCATGTGATCGAGGAACCAAATGCACGCCTCCTGGCACGCGTTGAACTGCTTCGTAACCAATTCCACCCATTGCACCATCGTCGGTTTCTCTTTAGCGTGAATGAAGGTTTCTAAAACGGAGGAATTAGTAGAAGAATCGTTGGTAGTAGTTCGACGTACCTATGAAAAACGTCGTTGATAATTGCGCGGCCTTTTGGGTGATGTTAGGCTCGATGGGTAAAATGGTTTGGGGTATGTAGCCGCAAATTTGCCACATGAAATTGAAGTAAGTGTGCTCGAAAATGTTCTTGTCTTGAATGAAATGCATGTTATCCTGCCATATCCAATCCTCCAATTCTTTGCTCAATTCGATGGTCATCGCCGGCGAGGGAGAGCTGGGCACGTTCTCGCCCGTCTCGCCGGTAGTAGAAGGACTTCTACAGATAAAAGAAATAGTATATAAACCTCGAATGATCGATATATCTATTCACCTTTGAGTGGTTGATTCGTTACGGGGACACCGTTCGTAGAACAACATGTAGGCGCTGTTGGTCTTTTCGAAACTGAAATCCATGAATTTATCGGTCACGCTGTCGTAGGTTTTGCTGGTCATTTCCCCGCCGAAACATTCCGCCGCGATCTGGTTGGGATCGAACGGTTTCACCTCGGCGTCGTTGAACAGAAACCATTTATCTCGCGAACTCGCCGTTCTGTCTTTGATGAAACTGTAATAGTGACCTCCATCGGCCGTACCTACCATAGAATAATTCATGAGAAGCTGGCTGTAATATTGTCACGAGTAGGGGACCGGTGAGCTCCAGTAGAGGAATCAATTGGACTCCGCTAGAGGAGTCCAGGGACTCTAGTAGAGAGTTAAAAGGACTCCTCTAAAGGTAGGTATTGTTGTGATCAAGAGAGATCTTTTAAGTTGTTATTGTTATTTACTATGTCTAGTTATTCAATTTGAAGAAATGTTGGGACTCACCTAGCAAAACGTAACACATGCTAGGACCTTTAAACCTCTAAACGTTTCTATAAGTATAGAAAAACATACCTGTATGTACAGTGACGCCGATTAGATCGTACTCGTACTGCTCTTCGTCAGTTTCAGCTATATTCTCACTGCTATTCTGTTTCTCCTCTTGATAATGCTGCGGCATGAGCTGCTTTTCCACGTAACCGGCCATGTTCAGTCTCAACGGGAACGAGAAATGCGTGTTGACCTTCTCTTTGAGCATCGTCAGCATGTTGAAAGTGTATCGCATCGTGTTGAAACAAAGTATGTGAGGCAGTTTCTTGAAGCAAGCCCTCTTCTCGGCCCTCACTTTTTTCCCGCACTGCGAACACGTGTACATATTGTCGCCTTCCAGCGTATCCTTAACCGTGACTTCGTCCAGCGATTCGTAGAGGTTACGCATATCCGCCACTTGGCATCTGACCGTGTAAAATTCCTCCAAGGTCCTGCTGACGTGGTCGCAGTCCAGCGACACCACGTTGTTGCTGATGACGCCGCAAAATAGATTCTTGACCACCTCCTTCAACGGCGACGTCATCTCCTCCAGTTTGCTCACCAAATCGATGAAAAACTCCGCCATGTCCTTTTGTTCGGCTGTGTTGAGAGGCTGGTGGTCCATCGAGTAGACTTTGCAGAAGCTCCGCGGATTGTAGGCCTTGCGTTCGCTCTCGAGGAGGTAGGCGAACATGCGCTGGAGTTCTTTGAGCGTCGGCTCGTGCTTCGCTTGGTCGGTGTTGGCAGCTAGAATGGACGCCCTAGCTTGGGGCATCATGTACAAGTGTTGCATGCAGGAGGCCATGTAACAGGTCGCTCCTAAATTCGTTAAACCTGAAATAAACGAACATTAAATAACAATAGTTTAGAAGATTTTGTGCAAAGAAGTTTGGTGAATTTTTGGTTAATGAACAAAATATACTAATAAAGTCATCTGTTTTGCTGGAATTTAATATCTATGCAATGACGGAAGAGAAACTACAAATTAGAAATCCTGAGCATTACATTTTTGTTTCTTTCTGTCATTTAAAACTATCTAGAACCATTCAGAACCCTTTAGAACTATCTACAACCATTTAGAACTATCTACAACCATTTAGAACTATCTAGACCGCTCCAGAAACAATTATAAGCCTCCAGAACAATCTAGAACTCTCTAGAAACATCAATTAGAGCAATCTAAAACCATCTAGAATCATTTAGAACTATCTACAACCATTTAGAAAACTCCAGAAACATTTAGAACTATTTTGAATCTATAACCTTTTAGAATGATCCAGAAGCATGTAGAACTATCTAGAATCATTTGAATTTATCTAGAACCATTTAGAAAGCTCCAGAAACATTAAGAGCTATCTAAAACCATTTAGAACACTCCAGAATCATTTATAACTATCTACAACCATTTAGAATGCTCCAGAAACATTTAGAGGTATCTAAAACTATCTAGAACGCTCCAGAAACATTAAAAGCTATCTAAAACCATTTAGAACGCTCCAGAAACATTAAAAGCTATCTAAAACCATTTAGAACGCTCCAGAAACATTTAGAACTATCTAGAATCATTTAGAACTATCTAGAGCCTGAAACTGAATTTTTTTCGACATCTTAGAAATAAGCCCGCAACAATATATTAAAAAAAAGTTGTTTTTATGTCATGCACTAAAAAAAATGTAAAATTACGCGTAAGATGTCTTACCGACGTAACCGCAGTCTGATCTACCGTCTTCGTGGGGCCAATAATCCCACGGGTAAGGCGAGTTGGGACCCGGCTGGTGCTGTTTCAACAGCTTATCGTGAAGTATTGCGTAGTTTTCCGGACACCCTTTGACCAATTCGACCAGCAAATCGAACGCGGCCGTCCTCGATCTGGGAGATTTGCACTTCGGCACGTGCCTAAGCTTCGGGCTAGGTAGAGCGAAGAGGAAGTTGAACACCTGAAAACGGTGATATTTTAATAAATATAAATCCACGGGTTGCGCGTTAATTTACCTCGCACAACAGCGTTTGTCCGGTTTTGCCGGTTTGAAAGGCGAATTTGTGCTTCAGCAAATTGGTCATCAAATTCAACAAGCCGATCAACCCGTCGTCGTCGACCGTGTGATGTCTCGTCTCGAGGAAATCCCTGTCGAGTATCGACCGGGCCACTCTCTCCGTCAAACCGTTGATGTCTATCACGCAATTCTGCGGATCGTCGAGACTCTCTCGAATCAAATCGTCCGGCAGGCTGTCCACCAGACGGGATATGAGCCAAAAGTAATCGCGACAGGCCGGCCCGTACGGTTCTTTGCCCTCTTCCGGCGCCTGCAACGCCTCCAGTTTCTGCGGCCTCATGTTCTCCGCTTTGTCTATGTAGAGCAGCAGGTGCGATAGCATGGGGGCTATGAGGCAATTGTCCAATGGATCCCGATTGGCCGGTATGCCTAAGCATAATCTGTAAACGGCCGAGCATACTTCCCTTCTCACCGCCGGTTCGGGATCTTCTAACACCTGCAATGATAGTAAATATGTAGCACCGAATTGCTAGTAGCAAAAATATATTTACCAATCGTTGCAACCAATCGGAGAAATTACTGGAGTGAAACAATTCGACTCTGGCTTCTTCGCAGCAATGCAACCAAGAGACCAGGAGGGCCATAGCGTAGTGCACTACTTGCGCTCTACCCCAGAAACCGGTTTTGTAATGATTCACGTCTTTAGGTCTGGATGCTTCTTCTAAAATACTAGTAATTTTTTCCATCATAGATTTAGCTTCTATTAACGCTAAAAAGCACGCGTTGAGATCCGGTATGATTATTTTATCGCTCCGTGGCTTGACGGATTCAGGCGAGACCGTCTCGACGCCCAAATGGCACAGGATTTTCAAAAGCGACGCCAAACAGTCTTGTTGCCAATCGGAACAATCGCCTCCTTCCCTTTGTAATATACCTACAAATAATTTATAAAAAATGAAGCATTTACTTTGAAGTAAAAGGTAGAAGCAAGAAATAAGAGAACAAGGTTCTAAAACCTTATACAAAGATTCTAAAACTATAAAACATTTTGCTTCAAAGCAACAGCAGGATCCTCGAAGCAAAACCTCTCATCCTTCTCTCCTTTTTACGCATATACCTTGAAGCAATTCCTTCATTTTATTGAAGCAAAACGTTGTGCTTCTTTTTATAAATACGGCCTAATATGGTAAAAGTACCATTAAAAAATAATGCAAGATATCTCACCTGACATAAATATATCGAACAAATGGCTAAGCCCGCCGTGCTTGACGAATTTCCTCGTCCAAGATTCCTCCGCACCTTCTTCGTCCGAATATTTACCTTTGTACATTTTCGCACTCAACGATTCGATTATATACAGCGAATACATTAATTTCTGGGCGCTAGAAGGGTCTAATAATTCCGATAAAGGTATGTCTAGATATTTGAACCCCCGCAAGACTTTAGGGCTGGTGGGTAGCAAACTGAGTATCTCCCACACGCGTCTGCTGAGCACTTGAGCCTTCGTGTGCGGTAAATGGCGCTAAAAATCGCAGTTTAGAAATAGCATACCGGAAATTAAGCGACTTACTCCGCCTTTGATTTGAATTTTTAACGAACTTAACGTGTGCATTAAAGAAAACAATTGTTCAAAGTAATTGGGTTGCAATAAGAGTAATGTAGGCAAGCATTCCCTAGGAGGCGGCGGATGTAACGAAGGAGCGTCCATGCACTCTCGCTTTTTCATGTTTCTAGACATCCCTACCGATATGTACACCATCTGGAAAGAATACAGTTTGCAACATATTCGTTAACTGATGGTAATTAAGTACCTGGTTGTCTTTAAAACCCATTTCAGATAGGGTTTTTTCATCACAGTCGATAGTCACTTCTTGGCCTTGGGTAATTATCCTGATCCAAGTCTCACCAGGTTTGGTTTTCGTTTCGTTCGAATCCCCTTTCATCTGGACAGAATAACACGAAGTTATATTACTCAATGAATATGCTAAATGCTATACTTACATGCTGAATATTTTCACACCATTTGACTATTTCAGCTCTTAATTCGGCCACGTAATCCGTATTAAACAAATCCAGGTAACATCTTTCTGAAGAGCTTCCGGATTGAACTATGATGCGAAATGGAGTGCTCGGTTTGTCGCTCAACGAAGCCGAATGGCTACCGATACCTCTGCCTTCTAAGGCCCATTTTCGCAGATGAAATGCGTATCTAAATATTTATAAAACGGTTTAGTTTGAAGTGGTACTGCAACACAACGAATATACCTTTTCCTGAACGTTTCTATGTGCGTCTTCATCAACAAAAGCGCTCTCTGTATGCATAACAAAGAACCCTCCTCGGTTCCAGTACTTCCTGCTGTCAGATCCTCCGAAGCCTCTTTTAGATGCGTCATGCATTGCCAAACAAATTGACCTTCGTGTTGGAGATTGTGCCCCATGTAATAACTGTTTATGTATTGGATAGCGGCCATGCTTACCTCTGTAACATTAATAAACTAATAAATAACGTACATATAATGATTACACGAATAACACACCAGTATTTGAAGCTTTTAAAGCTATTTTCCACATATGCCCCATACCGACGTTCTGGTTTTCCTTCTTGTTGTCCGAATCGTTAGTTAACAAGTTGTTCAAACTACATAACTGTTGAAATAGACTGAGACAAATCATGCTGAACTTCTCGGGCGGTAAACTAGGTAAATGGTGAATGTACAAGCGACGCAGGGCGTCGATTTTCAAAGCGTACAACTCGTTGGTCTTGGTCTGAGACAGCAACCAGCTGAACAATTCGTCCGAACATTCGCTATCGTGAGCTAAACATTCCCACAGAATATCCACTTGATCCGTTGTTAACCTTTGTAAATAAAAGAGATAATTGTGTAGAGTTGAGAGTAACAGAGTAACTCACTTAAAATGGTTAGGAGAAACAACTGGTGAGAATACGGCGGATAGAAAATGCAAGCGGACTTGCACTTGCATCTGGTGAGTGTACATGGGCAATGATTTCTTGGGATTCGCTGTATAAACTTTCAAGTTATTAAAGAAATGGGTCATCATGTGATGTTGCCGATCGGCCCAATGAGTTACGTGATGCATATCCAAACCGCGAAACGACGTTAGTAACTTGGGCAGCATGCGCAGAGAAACTATTACAGACCTAAAACAGCGAAACGTTACTAATCGTTTAAATAATTAGAAGTAATTCATACGTATTGTTAGCGAGGTTATTCAGACACCCCTCTATGAATTTCATTCTAATCTCCTTATCTGTGGTGTAGCATATTAGATTACACAACGTTTTCTCGGCTTCGAGGGCCAGCCCTTCGCCTAGCTGGCAAATTTTCTCGTCCTGCAGGAGGTCCCACAACAACGTGTTGCCCGGTTGACAGACGTTGTCCACTTTGAAACACGACGACATTCTCAAATCCACTCGAACCGGCGACTTTTCGATGGAGTGATTGAACACGTGAATGTTCATAGCCGCTTGTTCGGTCAATCGGGCCAGTTCGTCCTCGCAAACGGAATCCTCCCCGTCGAAATCCGCCATGTTCTTCTCGGACTTATTGCTCATCCTCGAGGAGTAACTGCCTTCGGCGTCTCCTTCCACTTCGGCTTCTTCTCCGCTCAACATTTCCAGAATGTGGCTGCAAAATTCATTATTTACTACTTTCGATTTGGTTCGGAAGTATTCAATAGTACCCAGACGAAGAATGAATGGCCAGGAAATTCGGACAAGTACTCTCGTGGCTTTCTTTTCCTAGCTCGCTACATGATGAACTTTCTTCTAAATACACCGTGGGCTTAACGGTGTTATCGACCAGTGAATTGAGTTGTGATGGTAACACGTGGACGTTGTGGCTGATTATTTTTAAATGGTTTTTTATCTCGCTATCGCTGTCGACTTCTTGGTTTAATGTTTCCAAGCCGGTTATCCTGTGTATTCTTTTGTGACTTCCTAGAAGGAAAATAATACAAAATATTGTATATGAATATAAAAATGATGTATTGTATTATACACAAACCTTTCTGCTTTTTTGCTCTGCTTTTTCTCAACAGTTTCCTCCTTTTTCGCATTTTCGATGGCGAATCTTCGGTGTCAGCTTCATCTTGTGATGTGCTAGATGGAATATTCTCCACCCCTTCCGGCAACACTGTAACATTTGGTGGTGCTTTTTTTCGAACGTGCACTCGTTTTTCGCTTTTGTTCTTCCCTTGGCTCGACCACTTCGGGTTGACGGGATAAGCAGTATTTATAGCGATCCCTACAAAATGGAAATATTGCATTTAAAATAATAGTTTAGTATTAAAGGGTATTACCGTCTAATTCGGAGTCTGTACTACTGCCGTTACAATGAACTCTTTCGATGACATGCTTTCGGGCCAATTTGCAAGGAGGCGGGCCGTTGTTATCTGCGATAATGTTCTCTTCTTCGTCGATTTCCACCCCGTCGATTTCCTCGCTTTCGCTTTTACGGCTTTCGGATTGAGCAGAGCTGTCACCCTGCATAAAAAATTACCATTAATTAATTACAATTCCATAGGGGAATAGTAGTCAATTTGTATGTATAATTACATGTTCTTCTTCTGAATTACTGGGATCCAAACTAACGCTGTTTTCAGATGATGTTGTACATTTGTGCAGGGCTATGCCTGCATTCGAAGCTGCTACGTTTATGAGGCCAATTTCAGTCGAACCGCCACCTCTTGACCATAGAGCTTTTATTAACGCCGATGCCAAATATAAAGTCTACAAAAAATGTATTAAAAATTTCAGAAACTATTAGATTAAGCGTAGTACTTGTTCTGTGTGATCTTTGGGTTCTAATTTCGTTAAAAGACTGTACAAGTGTAATGTAGGTGCAGCAGCCAGGTGTTTAACCAAGCCAGGTAGTAGATCATGAACGGGTTTCGAGCAATGTTTCAATTGTGCAGCTGCCCAAATGATATCCATGTGATCGCACGTTATTCTACCTTCCATTGCGAGGAAATTCAATATAATATGGCTCTGTTTTATTACCTAATAAAAAAGATTTCACGTTAATTAAATCTTCGAGAGTAAAGAAACGTTAAATGCTTACTTCTACATGTAAATTAGGACCGAATATGTGAGAAATAATGCTATTATTTATCAACCAATCGGCCATTTGTCTTGGAGCAGCTTCAGCTTCGGGCAAGGATTCGCCAACGCAAATCTCGGCTAATAAACCGATTTGGTTGTTTATTTGGGTAATTCCAGCCAAACGCATTGTTAATGTGCTCGATGTAAAATATTTGAATGCTAAATCCAAGCTGTCCACGTCGAAGGCAATGTGCGAATCCAAAGGATCTTTAATAGCATTCCACATAAAATCTAAAATATGATTTTTGTAGGAAATTTCATCAGTAATTCTACATAAAATTTGTTTTATTACCTGCCATGCTTTTTATTGTTGGCGTTCTTAAATCCTGATCAGACAGTTTACACATATATCTCAGTACGCACGATCTTAACGGTACTAACATGGACACCATACTCTTGTAATTCATCCATAATTTTAAATTGCACACTAAAAATCAAAATGATTAAATAGAAGGATATTATACTTATTCGTTTTACCAATAGAGATCATAGCGTGAGCTGTTGATATAGGTAACAGTTCCGGAGATAATTGAGTAAAGCATGTAGTCATTGCGAGTAGACCGCCCATTTTGCAAAACCAACTGACATTCTTCAGCAAATAAATAGGAATCTCCGAATCGTGTAGGTCGCAAAATAGATTCAAATTTTGCATTTCTTGCTGAGTTAATTCATCTAATTTCGCTTGAATCGTGTGTTTGTAAGCCACATAAAGGGGAAAGTTCAAAAGGAAAATTTTCGATACTAAAATCAACAGTTTGTCTCGTTCGATAACTTCTGGGCTCTCTTTTTCCTCATCTGTTTTGTTGCTTTTGGAAGTTGCGACCTCGGATTGCTCGGTTTTTTTATTTTCTTCGGCACCTTTCTCTGCAAGGATCTTTAGCTGACTAGCTGCCATGTAAATGAGGCCTTGTGTGACGAAACTGAAGCGTTCCAGGTTTTTTGGATCGCGATAACAGCACATACATTGCCTAAAAACGTCCAATGATATATCGTAAAATTTAGGGAGTTAAAATACAAAATAAATATACCTTGCTGGCCAGGTTTGCACGTAAACAAAAACTGTATCTACATCTCTTCCTGTTAAAATAGGCTGTTCATTCGTTTCTGAACAGAACTGAGCCTCATCTAAAAGAAAACAAAGCGAGTAATAACGCATAAACATGTATGTTTTTAATCAGGAATACGAAAAAATCGAATTGTTACAGTTGTTGTACTCACAAGAAACTAATAGTTGAAGAAAATCGGAACAAGCATCACACATATTTTTAAGTTTAATTGAATTTTTGTTAACTATAAAGCTTTTTTTAGGCTATTTTGGAACCTATTCATACATATATACATTTATTTGTAACATTCTTTTCTACCCATACAATGTTATAATATCCAACATCCACCATATTAAAAACGAATACAATAAAAGAAATGTCAAAAGTGTCAAAGTCAAAAATTTTATGACAAATGACAGATGTCATAGTTTTCAATTTAGGCATTTTTTAGCGACTTACAAATTCAAATTTACACTAATTCAAAATCGACTGAAAAAACTACTTATTAATTTATTACACATACTCAATATATACAAATCAGCTTTTAAATAATTATACAAAATTTTAAACTACATGTAATAATGACACATATCCTATAAAATAATTTTCACCATATTTCTAATTTCTAGTTTTAACGAATTGATTATTAGCAACATCCAAACTGGGATCGTTTTCTACTGAATACCTACCCAGTTTCGAAATCACAAATAAGAAAAGTATAATAGTAAACAAAATCAGTACGCTAAACAAGAAATATCTCCTACACGTAGATCTTCCCTTTGGCCTCAACGAGCCTCCAAAAGTAATTCTGAAAACAGCAACAATCAAATTTCATCTAAGTTTACAACTTATTAACTTACTTCCACCAATTTCCAACGAGTTCAAACAACGATTTCCTTTTGTATTTATTATCGTCGTGATCAAACCTGTCAGGTCTCACATCTCGAATATCTTGAAACACTCGACGATTCGAGGGATTTTGGAAACTATCTGTCCTATTAAAGGCTCCGATATCTTCGCCCATCGCAACAACAGAATGAGAAGGGCTCGGAGTCATTCTGGGCGGAGGGCTAACGTGATTTAGAGACGATTTTACTTCCCTTTCTTCTGATAGCTACAATTGGTTTATTGTAGAATTGTTTAAAAAATAAATTTATTTCTTACTAAAGGCATTCCTAATCCAGCTCTAGCCCAATTTACACCTGCCAGTTTCTCTTTCAGCACATCCGCAACAGGGCTTATTAGATTAGAAGGTGGAAACAAGGGGCTCTTGCACGAAGGGCAAGTGTATCCTCTCGGCGCAGTTGTGGGAGGCAATTGTCTCGAGTAATGATCCAAACACGACCAGTGAAATACATCTAAAATATCATACAAGAGTTAACAATAACAAACTCGCTTAGAACAGATACTTACGGTAGCAAGTTAATCGAATACAGTCTTCATTATTCAAGTCTTTGCTGCATAACTCGCATATGGAATTGTAATCGCTGTCCTGTAGCCATTGTAAGTAAGACTGTACAATGCACTATAAACACGTAGTGAGTAAGTAACAAGGTAAAATAAACTGTAATCAAAACTTACAATTGGATGATTTGTTACCATACAATGTTCGCAGACACAAACTCTGTGTTCGAAACAAAACTGATTCGTTACTCGGCGTTTCGGACATTTACAAAGCCCCATTTTTAATATTCAATCTGGAATCGATAACGTTTTGAATAAATATTTTTTTAATTGAAATTTGCTGTGGCAGAGGACCTGTCAAAAACAAGAAAGGTGAAAGGCCAGCCGGGCCGGCCACGTATTTACGTCAACGTCAGCTGACAGCTACCTGACACTGTTGACAACTTACATCAGTGTCATGTCATTTTGTTAAATTCACTAAAAATTGCCTAAAAATTTTCAAATACTATTCAATTTCAATTATATTCATTTAAATTTATTTGTATAATGACGTACATTCAACTTGTTTATATTCCGAACGGAATTTAAATTATTAATGGTAAGTAGATTAGAGGTGGGTTCGTTTATGTTACGTCACGTTTTAATAAAAATAATTATTGATGTTCAATGTACTGTTAAACATTATCAACTTTCTAAAACACACATTCAAATTATCACACAATTATTTACTTAATCATAAAGTAAAGAGAACAAATACATTTTTTTGCTTTGTTTGGATAAGATTAATTAACAATGGAGAAAATCGAGCTCATCTCTAAATGAATGTGTTGCGTCACGTGACATTTACAACCAATAGGAAAGGAATACGCAGCTTTCTAGATGAATCGGTAATAATAAATTGTTGACTGACGTGTTCATTTTTGGTTTTGTAGCAATTCCAAATCGAGAACGGCAGAATTATTCTGGCATTCGCAAGTGACAATCGAATATTGTTAAAATTGAATAAATTTCGTGAACAGTGAAGTGCAAGTATACCTGGAATCCTTCGTTGTGAAATCAAGAATCAACAACGCAAAACCACATTCACAATGGCAACAGCATCTGTGAATTCGTTTCTAAATTCCTTTAATAATAAGCTGTAAGTGTTGAGTTTATATAGCGATGTTTTTGCGTGATCCTAATATGGAATTCGCTTTTTTTGCAGGGAAGAGCCAGTCAGGCAGCACCTGAAAAATGTTTACGCCTGCTTGGCAATGTCAACGATGGCAGCCGCTCTGGGATCAGCAGTGCATCTGTTTACAAACATAATCCAGGCAGGTTTCTTATCAGCGATAGGAGCATTGGTGTTTTTCTTTCTACTAATGAGCTCCACCGACGACGATGGAAAGAGCCTAACAACTAGAGTAGGATATTTGCTCGGTTTCACATTCCTCACCGGCGTCGGTTTGGGACCCCTGTTGGAGCACGTCATTGTTGTGGAGCCCTCTATCATAGTAACAGCGTTCGTGGCCACATCGGCTGTATTCATGTGCTTCTCGATTTGCGCCATGCTGTCCGAGAGGGGCAAATGGTTGTACATGGGTGGTACTTTGATGAGCTTGTTGTCCACATTGATGGTTCTATCGTTCGTGAACATTTTCTTCGGAGCTGCATGGATACACCAAGTACAACTCTATGTGGGATTGTTGGCCATGTGCGGATTTGTGCTGTACGATACTCAGATCATCATCGAGAAACGCAGGATGGGGGACAAGGATTTCGTGGCCCACTCGTTGGACTTGTTTGTCGACTTTGTTGGAATATTCAGAAGATTGTTGATTCTACTAACTCAGAAGGTAATTGAAGATAGGTACATTGTCCATTCCTTTTATTCCTACATCCTAATTTACCATTATGTATTATATAATATAAAGCTAAAAAAACTAATTGAAAATTGTTATTTTTTAGGAACAGGAGTCAAGGAAGAAGCGAAGAAACTGAGGATGATTAATATTATAAAGGAAGAATATTGTTTTTGGTACAAATCTAAATTGTGATTTGATTTTCATTAAATAAAAATATCCATCACTGGACTTAATGGTTTCTTTAATATTTATGTAAATTAGTATTTAATAAAGGTTGTTTTTCTTTTGTACTACGTCGTTTTATTTCTAATTAAACGGTGCCTTAATTAAAAATAATTTATTTGTTAGATAAATATGAACATTATTTGTTAGTTTTTGATGAGCCCCCACCGCCTTCACCGCGTCTCCTTTTGGCGATGGGATGTCTGGGATCGAATATTTCGAACCAATCGTCATTCTTCGTGTTTGCATCTTTCGCTAAAATCGGATCGCCATCTTCGAATTTGAGATTGTGAGAAAGCCTAAAAACAAATTTGTTTTACCGAAACATCCAAGACATTTTGATCGTTCTCACCAGGATTCTTCATCTTCTGTACCTTCATCGTTTTTGTTTTGTTCCTTTTCTTTGACAGAATGTAATTTTGTTTTGAATTTATCTAGCAGAGCTAAAGTGAAACTTTCCCTGTCTTTTCCTTTTTTGGGTAATTGCTGTTTTTTTACTTTGTAGGAATCGTATTCTTCTTTGTAGACTTTCACTACTTCGCTTTTAACTTCTTCCGCTTTTTCTTCTACAGTTTTTGACTCTTCTTTCTTCAACTTATTTTTCTGGTAGTCTTTTTTAATGTTTTGGATCTCATCTTTAATTTCTTTTCTATAAACAAATCCAAAATAGTAAATTTATCATTGGTAAATAATAATATAAATAACATTTTTTTCTCTTTCTCCAGTTGCTGGTCCTTTCCAAGGTAGTATTCCTCCAAGTCTTTATCTTCATCTGGAATATTTTCCTTAGGTTTCGATTCGCTAACATTACGAGGTCGTTTGAGATTTTTTGCCTTGGATTCTTTAGCGGCTTGTAATTTTTTTCTTATATTTTCTAGCTGTTCTTCGGGATTTACTTCTGGTTCTTCTTCTTCCACAGGTTCGTTCGTTTTTGAACTCAGACTTGGATCATCTGAACAAAATACACCTTGAAAAAGTTACTACTAAGCTAGATTAAATTATGTTTACCTAAGACATCATGAGTTGATTTTCCTTTTCCTACAAACTTTTTGTTTTCCCTTGATGACTCCTCTTCATCTTCTTCAGCTTCTGCCCCAAAAGATAACAATTTAAAATCTCTAAAATAAAATAAATAAGAATCTAATTGGCAAATGATCGAAATGTTTATATACTTAACGCCAGCTCGTTTCTCTTTCTTCTTTTTCTCCTTCACTTCCGCAGTTTTAATGATTCTCGGGATTATATCGGTGAATGGATTATGTAATACTTCAGTTTTTAGGATTTTTTGGGGATACACCGGCGTCTCGTCTTCTAATAAACCCTCTTCTAGCTTTAGCATGTTATAAATCGTATTACCAGTTACTTTCCCGAAAATAGTGTGAAGGTTTTGGAGCTCCGGTGTAGGACCCAAAGTGAAAAAAAATTGTGATCCATTATCGTCTTTTCCTGCGTTTGCCATGGCCACCAGACCTCTTCTAACAAACTTAAGACGTTGGTGGAATTCATCCTTAAATGGCTCCCCGTATACAGACTCCCCACCTATTTAAAATTGTATTTAAGTGCAATCAAATCTACCCAAGCTACATATGTGTTGGAATTTTGTATGTAGTAAGACTTATAGCTTATATTGGGGTTTGAAAATACGAATTTCATACCTGTACCATCTCCATTAGGGTCACCTCCTTGGACTATAAAACCTTTTACAACCCTGTGGAACGTGAGATTATTGTAATAACCTTCTAAGCATAATTGGATGAAATTTCGACAAGCTTTCGGTGCCTCCTTTGACCATAACTCTATGTCGATATCTCCAACAGTTGTTTTTAATAACACCTTAAAAAAAAGTTTTGTAGATTGACTGGAAAATATTGTAATTTTTAATTACTTTTCCGGATGTGGGTGGTTCTAATATATAAATGCTACTCATATTTGTTGCTTGTTATTAAAATTGAAATAATCAAAATATTATAACCAATAAATAAAGTTTTGACGTTTGCGTAAAAAAGTCGACGAAAAGAAGAAAAATGACAAGTGGTCTTTTTTGTAGTTAGTTCATTGCTCAGCGATTTTAGCGACAAAAAAGTCAACTGTCATTAGAGTCAATTGTCAATCCCAATTGGCATCGCCATTCGCCATTTTGTAGCGTTGTTATCCGAAAAATTTAGCTGACTAGCAATGGGAGACAGTAAGTTCGATTTATTTATATAATCTTTTATCAAATTCATCCTATAAACCGCTAATTTTGTTACAAATATACCTATTTTCATATTGTACATAATATTTTGGTCCGATTGTAATCGTAATCGATTAAACTTTTTTTAGATTACGCCGGCGGTGGTTACAGCGATTATTCCCAACCGCCTCCATCGACCGCTTATCCCGGCTTCGGCGGCCCTTCGGGGTACCAAGGAGGCGGAGGCGCCGCCCAAGGAGGTTCACAAGGCAATTCGTGGGGCGGGCAAGGTAGAGGCGGCCAAGGTGGCGGATTTGGCGGCGGCCAAGGTATTGATGACTCTCCTTATAGAAGTAGTACGTTTTTTCTTACTATAAGTACTTAACACGTTGACTAATATTACAGCCAACGTGTTAAGTTGTTCGAAATAGGCATGGAAGTTAAATATCCGTATTGTATTAACTACCTCCTACTATTTCGTAAATAAATGCAAGTAATGATAGTCCTTTAGTTTAGTTCATGAATTAAAGGGTGAGATTCCACTTGGACAATTTTAATTTTTTGTATCAATTCATCATTTTTCTGGTATTAATGTAATATTTGTAATTTAGGTGGATACCAATCGGGCGGTTACGGAGGCTCAGGAGGCGGAGGAAACGGCATGAATTACGGAGGTGGTGGTGGCGGCGGCGGATACGGAGGCGGCTATGGAGGTAATTACTACCTTAAAATTAATAATTTGGGTTATTTTTTACATAATATTTTCTCTCGAAGGTGGCCGAGACCGGGGAGACAGGGACATGACCCGACGAGATAACTTTGGGTGAGTATTTGTTTAAAGTTATAACGGAAATTGAAAATGAGTACAGATTGAAGTGTTTACTTGAGTATTTATACACATTTCATAATCCTGTGTATTGTAAGAGATAAAACTTGGAATTTTAATTTGCTTTTTTACAAAGGATCTACAGTTAAATCAAAATGTAGGGGATTAGTAGAAAAGTGTATATTTTGATTATTTGAAATTTGCAAAAAAATGTAATTTTAATTTTTTCTAATGTCTGGTTGACTTTTCAGAGTTTGTTTTTTTGACATGACAATATACTCGAAGGTATTAATGAAGTATAAGTATTTCAATTCTTATGAAATACGTGTTATTTGAATTTTGGTTAATGTGGTTCTGTAAAATTTGGTCTTTGTCTAGGTGGTTAGTAAAACATTCATTTTTTAACCCTTTGAGGACTATGCCTATGAGGAAATAAGTGTAATCAATCGACGAACAATGTATTCAATTCACTCCATAAATGTATGTATATTTAAAGAGATTTTCTAAGGACTTTAGGTTACCTATTTCCATGAAAAGTTATATTCCTGACATTTAAATAAAAGATGTCGGTTTAGTGAAAAATATTTTATAGGATATATGATTTAATTGCTGGTATTACGATTTAATTTATAGACACAAGGTCTACAGGGAACTCTTTGGTTTAAGGTTGCTTAAATTTGTTTTCTGTTATAAATAGTGTTTATTTTGTATTATATAAGCACGTTATAAGCCATAAAAATCCATGATATAAATTTATAATATAAAGTGTTTATACATGGAATGCATATTTTAGGAAACAATGTATTTGAACAAGTAGTTATGATTAATGTTGTAAAAAATACGGTAAAAATGCTATTACAAAGCAAGGTTATACAAAAGTGTTAAAATATTGGTAACGAGTTATTAAGTAGAAGATTAAAATTGGGGTAGGAGCTATTTGAATGGCTGAACATCCTCAAAAGGTTAAGCTCATGTATATATTCGATGAAGGTAAAAATCGGTATATTGTAATTAAAATACTGGTACATAGTGGTTATTGTTTATGCATTCTGATGTGTTAATTTTGACTTACATGACCGACTAATACGTATGCAGACGAAATTTTTGACATTACCGAAACAGATGGTGTTCCCTCAGAAGAAGAATCATATTTAACAAAAGTGTTATCGATGCGCATCGCACACGTTTTGGTGTTCTAGTAGCAGCGATTTATACCCCCGCGTCACAAATCACCCAATGAGTACTGATGATGAATTTCTGTTTTAGAGGCGGCAACAGGGGTGGTGGTTATAATAAAGGTAAAAGCACCGAGTCTTAAGACAGAAGTGCCTTTTTTAGTACAATTCTTATACATTTTTTTTATTTTGAACGAGCTGAGAGAGTCTGGTTCATTTTACGTGGAATTTTCTATCATCATGTTTGTTAATTCGTACTTTTGAGCTGAAAAGTATGGGGAATGGTTCATCAAAGGTAAAAAGTATGAGGAAGGATCTATCACATTTTATTTTTCATATACTAGGTAATGCTGGTTAGTTTGATTATGGGAATAAATTTATGATTTACACAAATCTAATTGGAGTACATCCATTATGTTTCTTGAACCATTCCAGATACTTTTTTATCGCAATAAGTACATATCTATTAAGGAGAAACCGAACTTTTCAAAATATGAGGAAATGGCTTATTTCATCGGCTTGGTGTGTTGTACAGTGATGAATAGAAGGGGATATGTACATTTTTGTACGAACATACATATACGGGTTACGATTGGTTTTCAATTAAAACTTCGGTTTCTTTTTTTAACATCCGCATTTTCGGCGTTCGTTACAAGAATTAACAAAATAAAAAATACCAGTGTAGTAAATGTTGATAAAAAGTACCACCTTGATTATTTAAGGAACGTGTTGAAAAGTTTCGAGGAGAGTAAAATTCTACGAAAGGTTTCGCAACAGGTTAAATACAATTGATATGATTTGTTTACTTTCTCTAAATTGTATGTAATTATGTTACGTTTGAAACTATGCACACGTTAATATTGAATACGTGTTTTGAAGTATTTTTAGCGGTATAAAAGGTTAAAAAGATAGTTAATGAATTTGTATTTACAAAGAAATACAAACTGGTGTGGAATTGTGTAACAATATGTAGTTTCCTATTTTTTTTTTTAGTACCCATTGGTTAATTTTCTAAGGGTTCGTAATACATTGGTTGGTAATCCGCCTATAATTCTGAATTGATTGAATTATGTTACAAAGAGTATCTATTCTTTTGAATTGAACCTTGTGAAACTAATGAACATCTTGTCTATTAAACTCGGGTTATTATAGCAACTTTAGTATCTATTGAGTAAAGCAAAGTTGTTGCTAGAGACTGTTTTATAAAAATGGTTTCGATGTATGGATAAAACGATATAACATTTAAACAAGATTTAATGATGATTAGGTTGGATAGATATTTAAATTTATATTAAAGGATTGAATATTAATTGAATTTTTATGTTACAGGCGGAGATAATCTCGTTATTCAAATTGATACTGTATTTGTATCTGGAATGAATCCGTCATTGACTGAAGATGATATTGAACAACATTTCGGTTCTATAGGCATAATTAAGGTAAGAGTAACATGTTATGTGCCATACAATTGTTGCGAACTGCACTCTGTACTTGAATCCTTACAATATTCAAGGCCAATTTTGAAGATTCGCGATAGCAATACAGATGTCTATTCATCGTAACTTTTTTTTTCATAAAATTACGAATTATTAAATCTGTTACAAATATCACTAAGAAATTCGCTGTAATCTCACTTAGTCTTGTACGTTTCGATTTAATTGCTAAAATTTACATTACAGTTGGACAAGAAAACGCAAAAACGTAAAATTTGGTTGTACAAGGACAAAGTAACTGGCGAAAGCAAGGGCGAGGCCACCGTCACCTACGACGACCCCGACGCGGCTCAATCCGCTATCGCCTGGTTCGACGGAAAGGAATTCCAAGGATCTACGATAAAAGTACAATTGGCCACTAAAAAGGATACGTGGAGTAGCGGTGGCGGAGGCGGTGGTCGCGGCGGCGGCGGCGGTAGAGGAGGCGGCCGACCGGGTGGTGGCGGTTTCGGTGGCCCTAGGGGCGGCGGTAGAGACGGAGGAGGTGTGTTTTTTTTTAAATACAATTCGAATTTAAAGTTTTTACACCTGTTTTCTATTTACAGGCCGAGGTGGTGGCGGCGGAGGCGGTGGAAGAGACCGCGAGGGGCGCGAAGGCGATTGGAAATGCCCGAATCCCGACTGTAATAACACTAATTTCTCATGGAGAAATCAATGTAACAGGTAATACTTGATTTTAGTGATCATTTTATAATAGTTTAATTCTTTTCATCGTTCTCTTTTTTTGGTTCTCCCTCTTTCTCCTCACATCTGAGGCGTTATATGAGCGCCAATGTTCTATTATTGATAGTTTAATATTGCAATACAATAATGTTACAGATGTAGCGAGCCCAAACCAGAAGGAGCGGGGGGCAATAGCAGCGGTGACGATAGACGAGGCGGAGGCGGCGGTAGAGATCGCGACGGCGGCGATAGAGACAGACGCGGGGGCGGAGGTTTCCGCGACAGAGGCAGTCGAGGTGGCGGCGGTTTCGGTGGAGGCCGAGGCGGCGGCGGTGGTCGCGGATTCGGCGGCGGCGGAAGAGGTGGAAGGTAAAATCTCGAACGAAAATGTAATTTTATTTATTATAAGAATTTGTTGTTTTGAATATTATTTAACGTTAAAATTATCTGTTAATTTGCAGAGGTGGCGGCGGAGGTGGTCGTCCAGGCGGAGGCAGGGATCATCGGTCTCGTCCTTACTAAGAGATGTTATCCATTATTTTATCTCAATTGAGTGCATTCGTTTTTTTATGTACGCATTTTTTTTTTGAATTGACACCGTGTGTAGGATTCTTATATTCATTCCCTTCAAACTTAAACCCATTACCCATAATTTTATTTATGTGATTATAAGTGTACATAGAAATTGATATATGTTCATTTCTTATGTAGGTTTTTACCTTTAATAAATTAAGGTTAGGTAATTTTAATTTTATATGTAACATCAAGATCCAATAAAAATTTAAAACTATTGTAGATTTTATATTAAGTTTTTCTTTACTCTATAAATTTTCCACAAATATTAAATTTTTCAAGAAATAACTAGTTGCCTATTAGTCGGAGGCCATCGTTTGAGAAGACGAAATAATTGTCATATGTCAAACTTACACCAGGTGTTGGTGCGTTCGTTTGATCAGATTTGACATTTCTGTTCTAGAAGGTCGTTATTGTTTTGACACCCATTGAACGAACTGACGAACGCGACACCCTATTTTTGATGGATGACTAATAATTAAGAAGTGAAGAAATAAAAATCAAGTTTTGCTCGGATATTTCATCGTTTTTAGATAATTTTGATTTGAAAAATGAGTTTTTTTAGTAAAATATTCGGAGGAAAAGAAAAGGATACGGGTCCCACGCCCGGAGAAGCTATCCAAAAGCTCAGGGAAACCGAGGACATGTTATATAAAAAACAAGAGTTTTTAGAAAAGAAAATAGAGGAATACACATTAATAGCCAAAAAGAATGCATCAAAGAACAAGAGAGGTTCGTATGTTTAATTTCATGTTTATTTGCTTGTTTAAGTTATATTACCAAGTAAAAGAAGTTTAACTTTTGTGTTTACCTTCAAGGTGAAAGTAATTGATTCATTCCTTATTCTATTTTGTAACACGTATTCACCATAGAAATGTATGCACTAAACAATTATTATTACAGTTGCTTTGCAAGCGCTCAAAAAGAAAAAACGCTTGGAAAAAACCCAATTACAAATCGATGGAACACTCACTACCATTGAAATGCAAAGGGAAGCCCTCGAAGGAGCCAGTACCAACACAGCCGTCTTAGATTCCATGAAGAATGCTGCTGAAGCCCTACAGAAAGCCCACAAAAACTTGTATGCCAATGCAATAATTGATATAAATTCGCGAATAAGCCAATATATTTTAGGAATGTTGATGATGTCCATGATATCATGGATGACATAGCTGAACAGCACGATATTGCCAATGAGATTACTACTGCTATTAGCCAGCCGGTTGGCTTCAATGATGATCTGGATGAGGATGAATTAGAAAGTGAACTAGAAAAGCTTGAACAAGAAGGATTAGAGGAAGATTTGCTGAAAGTGCCCGGTCCTACTGAATTACCTGCTGTACCTACAGGAGCTATCGCTAAGCCAGTTAAACCTGCTGCTAGTATGTATTGTTTTTGTTTACTGTTTTTCGATTGGTTTTTCTTACATTTTGTTATATTTGTTTATTTGTTTCAGAAAAAGTGGAGGATGATGATGACATGAAAGAATTGGAAGCTTGGGCTTCGTAAGAGGAACTCACATAGTTTAATAACACACGTGAAATGAAAAAAAAAACTTATAGCTATTAACAGCTTATTTTTGGCTTAAAGGTTTAGAGTTAAAATGAATATTTCTCGTATTACGAATACTTGAAAGTACCTCTTGATTTTTTTATTAACTTTAAAATAGTTATAATTCATTGTCTATTTTTGTAATATAAGTGCAAATCAGATATACTTTAATTATAAATCTCCAATTATATTTGATTATGTATCAATAAACTATACAAAAAGTATTTATTTTATTATTTCATATTAATTTAGTATATCTGATTCGTGAGTTAACAAAGAGGATTTAATGTTCATTTATTAGGGATGGTAATTAATTTCATTTTTCATAACATCTAATGACTATAACTTCTTTTTGTACAGATTTAATGTATTTTGTAATCGCACTTACATGATGTTTAAAAAAAACAATTCGAGTAGCTTTAAAAGTACCCAAATGCATATTGTTCGTTGTTAAATTGTAAAAAGTTCATATTTGTAGTAAACAGTTATCCTTTTATGTTGAAATGTTTCATTATTCCAAAGTTTTTGTATTGTTCTTAACGTAGGTCTTTTTACTCGACGGTAACCGGCTAGATTATCATCTTCTGGAATAACATGGTCTCTACCTTCTCTGGTGTTCAGTGAGTTTCGAAACACGTGACAATTGTAACTGTTTATATTTTTAAACAAACCGTCAAATTTTTTATCAAACGTCACCGATTAATCATATACCAAATCCTTGAAAATTAGAGCATTCTGCTTTATCATGAATAATAATTAAGCAATTAGAATACGTCAGAGGTCGCATTTAAATTAGTGAACTCACAGATCGTGTAATTACAAATACTTCATTTTTGGCTATTATTATCTCTACCTCTACCTTTTTTTAGATAGCATGATTACGAGAAGCTCAAGTGTCCTGGTCAGGAATATTAGGTGGATATTCAACGCTCCTGCACAACGAAAAATGTCGGCTCAAACTCAACAGGACGATGTTATACTAAAGGAACAGTGCAAAGCAGGAATCATCGTGTTGAACAGGCCGAAGGCTCTAAACGCTCTAAATCTATCAATGATCGAGAAGATCCTGCCGAGCTTGAAGCAATGGGAATGCGACAAATCCCTGGTGATAGTGAAGGTGATTACGAGCGATTACGAGCGCACCACGGAAATGAATAATCGGAATATTTTCCAGATATCTAAAGGTGTTTCGTATTTCAGGGGGCGGGAGAGAAGGCCTTCTGCGCCGGCGGCGACGTCAAAACGGTCATTCTGGAAGGCATGGCTGGTCGCAGAGAAGTGGGATTTGAATTCTTCAAAAAAGAATATTTCATGAACGGTTTAATCGGCTGCTATAAAATCCCCTATATTGCCATCATCGACGGCATCGTAATGGGCGGAGGAGTGGGCTTATCGGTGCATGGAAAGTACCGAGTAGCCACCGAGCGGACTCTATTCGCCATGCCCGAGACTCAAATCGGATTCTTCCCAGGTACAATCGAAATCATGTAACAAACAATTTTGTATTCGAATTGCTAATATTTTGTAGATGTGGGAGGTTCGTACTTCCTATCGAGGCTACAAGGAAAGTTAGGCTGGTATTTAGCTCTGACGGGACAACGGTTGAAAGGAGCGGATGTTCTACACGCCGGTATAGCCACTCACCTGGTCAACAGCTGCGATCTCAAAGAAGTGGAAGCGGCCCTGGTAGAGTGCTCCTGTGACGCGGACGTTAAAACAGCCCTAGACGCTTTCTCTAAAAAAGACTTACCGGATTTCTCTCTACAGCCCCACATGGCTAAAATAAACTGCATCTTCGGCTCGGACAAAGTGGAAGACATCCTATCGGGCTTGGAATGCGACGATAGCAAATGGGCGAAGGAAACGAAGGATCTGCTCAACAAAATGTCGCCTACCAGTCTGAAAGTGGCCATGAAGCAGCTGGATTTGGGCAAGCGTTACAACTTGCAGGATTGCCTCAAAATGGAGTACAGCATGAGCGTGAATTTCCTGAAAAACAAAGACTTCTACGAAGGCGTCAGGGCGTTGCTGATCGACAAAGACCAGAAACCCGCGTGGGATCCCCCCAAAATCGAAGACGTCACCGAGCAAATCGTCAACGGCTATTTCACCGATCTCCCTAAATTGAAGAATATGATGTAAATTTTTTTCCTATTTTTTGTACAATAAATGTTATTGTTGATTTAGATATTTAATTTACCTACTCACTGATAATTCAATTTTACTCGGCCCTAACCCGAAATTGGGTTACTATCTTGATAGTCGTAAAAGGTTAACGAACCGAAATCATCTAGGGTTAGGGTATTATGTACCTTTAGTATCCATATAGCAGATCTGATATCTAATAAAGATTGGCATTGATTTTCATAGCCGCAACAATTATTGGATCTAACAACGTTAAAATCTGTCATCTGTAACATAGAGGGCGATTCAAGAAGCTACTTGACGGGATAATTTGCCAGAAATATTCTTGAAAGTGTTATAAAATATTGGGTCAAAAAAGTGGGCTGTTTTTATACCCTTTTCTCTTAACTATCTCTTCTTCCAACTTCTTGGTCTTCCGCTTTCCTTATTCCTCGAGAGCTCCAATTTAGTATCTCTGTTCCTTCAGCTTCGATATCACTTTTTTATACTTATCTATCCCTTATTCCAACTTCTTATCCATCTTCCAATTTTCGTTATTTCTCGATAGCTTCAATTGAGTATCTCCGTTCCTTTAGGACTCTTTTGATATCAGTTTCTCATACTTATTTATCCCCTCCAACTTCTTCTCGGTCTTCCGCTCTTACTTACTTCTCGGGAGCACAAATTTACTAACTCTGTTCCTCCAGGACTCTTCTTCGATACCCTCTCTTATTTATCTGTCCCATATATCTTCAAACTTCTCGTCATCCACTGTTCCACCTTATTACATGAGAGTTCCAATTTATACTATCTCTGTTCCTCCAGGAGTCTCCCTCGATGCCTCTTTCTTATAATCATCTATCCCTTCTTCCAACTACTTCATCTATTGAAAAAATCTATTTCCATCTCATATATGCAAACATTTCGCATAAAATACCACAAGAATTTACCCCTACACACGTTTCATTAAAGCGGTTTTACGAGGGCGCAACATTTCCAATTCTGCGCGCACCGCCTTGTATGAGACCGAACCTCCTCGTCGATAAATATTTGACTAAGGAAATTGTGTGATGTCTTTTCATTAGCTGCATCTCGCCATTTACCAGAGCATTCTGAAACTAATAAAACAAGTTATAGGGCGGCATTAAGCAAACGAAATGTAATATCGCCCGGTATCGAGTATCATGCGATGTTTGAATTTTATAAAAATCGAGTGCCCCGCAGCGGGCAAATTAAAACAAGTTATTACAGAGAGTATTTGCAACGGAGAATTTGCCTCGCTTTAGCTGTTTGAGCGGAATTAATTTGCAAATTCGGTCAATCCTAAGGTCTGTTTGCGTATGAATGAATGTCAAGGGTTACGGTGTGGTCGTAGACACGCTAAATGTTTGGGTGGTATTGATTATTCCATTAAATGCAACTATTTATAAAGGGAAAGGGTTTTGTGATGTTGTAATTGAAACATTTCGAATTTTCAGTGGAAACTTTTTTTTTTAGTTCTTTCGCATAATTTATTAGGCGCTATTTTGCTCGATTTACGAGCAGTTTCTTGGTTTTTATTAATAAAGCGGTCAGGGAGTATAAAATTCTTCTCGGAGATGTCACGTATATTTAGAGTTTATTGCCCCTCAACATAGGAAACCTTCTGCCCTATATAATTGAGCATTGAGAGCACACAGGACTGTACTCAAACTTACTCAAAACAAAGTAAAATGCACAAAAAGTTTTTAACGATTCCTTTTGCATACGTACTACTAAAAATTATTCAATCAGGCAGTTATTCGTTCTGGTGTTTTTATAGTTTACTGATACATTCAGTAGGATCAATTCCAATAATATTCCGCACGGTTTCCGAATATCTCCCGGATGCAATTCTGTCGAAACAATCGACGACATTCTGATGCATCCATGTAGATGCGCCATAATATACTATAACATCGAAATATCCCGGCACTGGGCGTTATTTCGTTTAATTAATCTCCCTCTTTATATTCAAATGCCGTCCCGTTAGGAATTCCCGGGCGAAAAACGCGTAGCCTCCCACGCAGTAAATCCTTTTTGATGAATTTTATGATGCGAAATCGTCAAGATAATTGAAATCTCTCGATTTCGGTGGAATACGGAAGTACGGTGAAACGGTTTACGAGGGTCGGACGATTAGTTTTTTTGCTCAAACTCGAATTTTTTTTCATCGAAAAACAAATAAGTAGGATGAAATATGTATTCTCCCGGAGGGGACGAGATAAAAGTTTCGCAATTTTAGTTGAAATAAAGTTTCTAAAGTTGTATCAACGAACAAATTATATTTGTAACTTCACCCTTATATTTAAAGGGTGCGATTGATTGGAATAGGTATATTTACGTACGTTTTTTTTTCGCGAATTTCGTTTTCTCGGTATTAGGCGGGACGAAGGACGCGCCGGGATTCCCCGAGGAATAAATTTTTCTATTAAAACGAATGATAATTATCACGATGACTTTTCCAATTGCCGCTATTCCGTCCATTACGAAACATGAAAAACAAAAAGGATTTCACTATCACCGCGACACGCGAATTATGATATAAGAATAGCCGTTGCATGATCGAAGGCCGTTAGAGCGATGTGTAGAGTAATGTGTATATTACATTTACATGCCTAGAAAAGGATTTTGTGTTTCAAATTTGTTAATTTTATCGATTATTTTATGCAAAGCGGGGTGAAATTTTCAATGAATTACCCGAAATAAAGCTTTCAAAATAATTAAAAATTATCAAAGCGGTCACTCCTGTCGCGTAATTTAATTATCCTGCACCACATACAACCCTTCCGTAACACAAATATTTAATTTACCCACCGAAGGGTGCTCTATTTTTACGATTCCACCTTCGTTCAAATAATATAATGAAACGCATCAATTTAATGCACAAAATATATTAAAAAACTTTTCATATAAGAGAAAGCAATTTTACTCAAACATATCTTATTTCATAGGGTAATAAAATTTTTAATACACTTTTAATTAAATGTAAATAATTCGTGGAAATAACCGCGAGTAGAGCTCCTGTTGCTCGCAGGTACGCCTTTCGCGAGAGAGCCACGGAGGACAGGCGCAAATCCGACGCGTCGGGACGCCGGATTTTCGGGCGCTCGTACCATACCGTTGGAAAGCTCCGCCGGCCGCTTTTCCGACACGCGACGCTCCGCTGCCACGGCGGGTTATCGCGTGACCCGCGAAAATTTGTGCGCTAATTTTTCTTTCATGCGATCGAGCGAAGGCATTCCGACGCTATGAAAGTTTTACTGGCCGTTTTCTTGCACGTCCAAGTCGGTAAGTAGCTTTACTTAAATATTTATTTGCTTAATAGAAATTCGATTTTCATTGCGCTTCAGTAAACTTTTACAAAACCACTGCGGTAGGATAAATCCTTACAAAGGAAAGTTTCGAACATAAATCAACTATTATTATATTGTAATTTGCTCTGTTATCTTCTTGCTCGACTTTTACGACAACAGCCCGAGGGAGAAAAGCCGCAGTAGATTAATGAATGCCCAGAGAAAATGCTTTTTAACTCCATGCTATAACTCAAAGGAAAATTATAATAATAATAAAATGCTGCACGTACAATCAAAATTAGTTTTAATCTCGTATTTGTTCTATTTACTTTCAGTTTTGCTTTATGTTGTGAAACAATTTAGGGGTCGCCCTGTTAAATGCAGGACAAATAGTCCTTAATAGAGGGTTATCCTGCAAATGCCGCGGGGGTGATCAATGCTCGTCCCCGGCCAGACGAGGGTGACTCACATTAGAGAATCATAAAAGGCAGAATGAAAAAGTTTCTGTTTTATTGCAGACGCTGGGACGAGAAAATTCCGACGTATTCATTGTACGCGGTCGCAGGATTGCGCGAAAAAATACTCGTTTTTACGAGTATTTTACGATTTTGAATATCCCGAGTTTTCTTGCAACAAATTATCGTTTAATCACGCGAGTGGAGTGAATTTTCCGATTGCAAATTTATCGTTTTTGGGGACATATGGCACCCGGAAAAGACCCCCGCGTTAAGCTATCACAATTTTCAGCTAAACGAACATTTCATTACACGCGCGAAGTCCAATTTCCAGTTTAAAATTCATCGGTTCTCGGGAAACCGGGCTAGAGTCAAACAGCCCAGAAAAAAAAAACGGGACGATAAGCGATCATAACTCTCGGCCGAATAATAAATCACTCCCACAGCCCTACATAAATTGCGCCTCTTCAAAGGACATTTTAATACCGCAGGACTAGAACTTTGCGGGGCCTCCCCAGCACGATACCCGCACTAACTCAAATTCCTAACAACTCAGTAATCAGTAGCAATTTGAATAATTATTCATCAAAAAAGATGTGAATATTTCAAGAAGCTACACGGATTTACTTTATTATTGTATATAACAATCTCTTTTAAAAGCGCATTGATGCAGGAATTAGATACTTATTCCATCCTGGAATTAATCCTTAGCGTTTTCTCGGAACTTTACGTTTTACTACCTACCATTAGCTGTAAGGTATAAGAGATCCTCGTTTTATTGTCTAGGTAGTAAAGTGAAATTGGATAACAATTTTTCCTGCGATGCTGTAGATTTATCGATTATGAAGCGCGCTCTGTGGAAAACTTTCCAAATTTTCGGAATATCCATACAAAATGAGTCGACCGTGGAAATTTCGATGACATAGTAATTGAAAGAGACGAAAAACACGCTTTATATTCTCCGCAATTTTCTTTGCTGGAATACTAATATCTTCGCGAAAATCCGCATTTTCCGGCTAAATATCTATTCATTATCGGGAAGGCCCTGCAATTAGTATCGTCAGCTAGGAAAGTGATTAACGCAGAGCGCTAATGGAACAACAATTACCGGGATTATTAATTGTAGTAGGAATTTTTTCGGAATCTAATGGATGAAAAGAATGAGCGGGGAATATAAATTTTAGATAATGGAGATAATGTAGAAAAATGAAAATTTTTGTAATACATCAAACAAATCGATAAAATCGCATCAGTCTTTAGGAATTCGTCAGTGTTTATTTTGGTAAGTGGTCGCAATTCTCCTTGATCTTATCATTCTCCCTACCCTTAATGGTTTTATTTTCCGAACGGGAAATATCGACTCTCATCGGGATTTGATAAATTATTATACTTACAGAAGAAAACTGATCAAAACTTCGTTTCTAACCAACCCTACTTTTCGCGTTATCTTCAAACACATGTATCGTATTGATATAATGATATTAATAACTTTATCATTTATCCAAGGATGTTCTAATTCGCATTTAATTTCGTTAAATTAGCTAATTATCTCTTGGAAATCTGATAAAAATCTAATTATACATTGTAACTGGATATTAATATTTATTTATCATTCGTGCAAATCGGAGCAATTTTTTGTACCCGAATACAGGGTAAAAAATTCACGTTTTTATTGCTCAATTTTTAGAGTAATATCCTATGAGAAATTCCAAGTCTCTTATTTTCCAGCGCTATGCGTATATTTCTCCATGACGGACGTGAAGCTCACCGTCCCGAGGGCGATCAAGAAGTACATGCTCCATCCCTACGATCGACCGATTATTAATCTAACCGCAATAAATCGCGAAAACCAACCATCCAATTTGAAATACTCCCTTAACGGCACCGGAGAATATTTGCAAGTCAATTCCAATACCGGCGGCGTATTCCTTACGCCCAAATTTCTATCGCAAATCGAAAGTAAGTTCCAAAAACTACAGATTTATATTAGCTCTAAATTAAAAATCAACATTTTTATCGATTACGTAATTTTTGGTGTAGTTTTTTCATATAGCATACAGTGTAAGTAAATAATTTTAGTCGGGACCTCACCGCATTGTTAGCTTGAACTTCTTAGAAGATTCTAAGAAACACACTTTTCAAAATTTTGTGAATAAAAGTAGACAGAAAATGTTCATGAAAGTAGAGAGAAAATATTGTGCCGAAAAGTAGAGAGAAAATTTTTTGCATAAAAGTAGAGAGAAAATTTTGTGCATAAAAATAGAGTGAAAATTTTATGCATAAAAGTAGAGAGAAAATCTTGTGCATAAAAGTAGAGAGAAATGTTGTGTGTGCATAAAGGTATAGAGAAAATTTTGTCTGTAAAAATAGAGAGAAAATTTTGTTGTTTCGTGAGGTTGTGTTTAAAATATGTCGAATTATGATTAAAAGAAAGGACTTAGAGAACACATTTTTCGGTTAATAGAAAATGTCTCTTCCAGAAATCGGGACAATAGTGTTATCAGCTCACGTCCAGGAAACGGGAGATCCCGCGGGCGATGGAGCAGTTATCCGCGTGACGACGTCCCCCGCAGAAGGGTTGGATTGCGGGGAGCTCGTCGAAGACGTCTGCTTCTGGACGGAGGCGAGGTACGTCGTGAAGCGAAGGGACGTCGCGACGCCCGTCGGCGCGCTGTCGTCCCCTCGTTTGCTCGACGTGTGCCCTTATCGCGTCAGTTATACAGTCAAGACAGGTGAGAATTTGATTTATAGTAACACCTTGGGTATGTAGGTGTTGTTTTGGTATTTATTAGGTTCTTCGGTGGAGGTTTTTCCTCCGAGTGGTGCGAGAAGCTTCTGGGCGGTGGGGGCGAGTCTGAAGATGAAGAAATCGAGCGAAAGTGAAGCTGTTGGAGAGGTGTTTTGTAACGTGGAAGCTGCGAATGGGGAACAGGGGAAGTCGAGACGGGTCGGGAGGACCATTAAAATTCTCGTTATGGACGAGGACGGGCATCTCCCGGTGCCGCAATTTTCCGAAATTACCATAGAGATGCAGCAAAGGAGGTTTAAAAAGGTCGGTATGATGTTTGCATATATATTTTTTTTAATTCATTAGCTGTTGTAACGAGCGTTGCGTTTTAATAACTTGGAGTAATAATTCATCGATATTTTTACGTCGCGTTGTTGTTTTGAAATTGTCGTTAGCTTTCAAAATAAACTTGTTTCATTAGGTTTATTTCCCTTGTGATGCGAAACCGTTATTTGTCGGTTTTAAACTTTTTAAATTTGACAGAAAATCGAATCAAAAAATTGATCCAATTGGTTAGATACCACAGCTGAACAATACTTAAATGGAATTGAATTTCCCAGAAAGAAAATACCTTATCAATCGGGCGGTCTTAGCATTCGAATCCCCGAAATTCCAGATGCGTTGTAATGGAGATGGAGCGATGATAATGCTCGGATTAACGTTACTGGCGCTGTAGAACTTTAGAAGGATTCCCTCCCTATTTATCTCCTTAATTCCGGGAATCCTCGCGTTAAAGATATTTATGGAACAATAAACATACATTCAGACTTTGTTTTTGAGATAACACTGTTTAGGTACCCACGACATCACGGTGAGATCGATTGCCATAAATCACTATTAAATTCTACCTAGTCAATGTCCTAATTAACTCTCATCCCTGGTATTAATTACACAGCCGTATTGGATCGTGTAGATTTGCTATCTCCCTAGGTAAATGGGTAGATAGGTGTAAATTTGCTTGCATAAAATGATTAAAATATTAAGTGGTTAGAATAAAAAAGTTGCAATACCACAACGGAATTGCAAACTAATGGAAATTGTCTTTGTTTCACAAATATGCACTTAACTGTATATTTCTAATTAAACTAATGAGGTAATCAATTACACATTTCTACACCGGGACGATTTATTACAAAAGAGGAATTAACACCGACAGTTAAAATGCTATAAATCATTTTTATTCAATAGAATCTCGTTGATAGAAAAGAAAATTCCGCCCACTTTCCACCGCCGACGGTACATTATTATCCGAAAACACGTACAAAACGTTTTGCTCCGGGGGTTCCACCGAAGGTGGGATGGATAATGGATATACGAGATACGAGCACGCCGAAATAAATCTCGTTTGCTAAAGTAATCGATGATCGGCGTATTTATTATAATCGTTCGGCTGTAAAACGCATTGTTTTCGGGACTGACGGGTTTTTTGTGCAGCTATGTTCCTCGAATTTCGGGCGAAGCAGAGATTAACTAGGGTTTAATAGTCGGTGCAATTTTAAATTCAGAAATATTGTTGCGAGTATCAGACGGATTTCTGCATAAATTCATTTCGCGCCGCATCACCTCTAATAGAGAATCGGAATTCGATTTGCGGAATCGCAATAAAGTTACACCCGTATAGGCGCAATTCGAATGGAATATTAAATTTTACGATTCCTAAAATTTCGTAATAGTTACGGTAAAAATTTAATCGCATCGATTTCCCTACGAATCGATACCTATTAAACAGTGTCTTGTTTGCAACTTTATTGCATTAAAACTTTGTAGTCTCTCTACATTGTTGCGGAATTAACAAGAAGCGAGTTTCGGGTAATTTGCTTTTACGGATTCCGCGTATTCGTGTACAATGCAGGTATTCTTGCATTTAACCCTAGGATATTATCTGTATACCTGTATAAAATAATTTTGTACTAATGAAGGTGTAGAAAATGAATATCTTTAATCTATATCGCATTTTCCCCTAAGGGATTTCCTTCCAGAAATGCCGGCAAGAAGCTCTAATGCGTGGGAAGGGACGAGTTTTGCATTCATTAACAGGTACTTATCGGTAACCGTAGATTTCGGTTAATCGCTGGTCTTGTCGAAAATACGTGAATGGATTACGAAGATTGGGAAACCGTGTTCAGACGTCAACGGAATTCAGATTGATTTTCCTTGAGTTTAGAAGTTAATTGTGAGGAACGTTATTCTTGTTAAAGGGCGAAAGAATTCACCATCCTCATTTGATATTCACTGACGACGATTCGGCCAAAGCCAACCACTACAAAGCCACTGTAGACGATGGAAATGACAGAAGTTTCCTCAAGCCTATTTGCTCGGAGAGGGAGTTTTCGAGAAATAACAAAACTCAAACAGCCATTCATTGCAGTAAGTTAATCAAGAAGTTTCTTAAACGTACGCCTACGACTAATTATTCGTTCACGCAGAATTGGAATTCAAACAAGATATGGTGTTTAATTCGACAGCGTATTCATTCGTACTGTCTTTGAACGATACTACTTTCAAAGGAGATGCTCCATCGACGGTATGAGCAGTGTTTATTCCAAGTAACAACTTTTAATAACTTTTCAATTAAATTTAAGGTGGATCTCCCTATTCACCTGGTTTTCAAAGACAAAGCCGAATCGTTGATGATGCTAAAATTGTACCCTTCCACGCCTAAAATATTCAGGTAAAATTAATCCTAAAAATTTGTACAGTTAGATTAATTCTGCAACATTTTAGAACCGCCGCTCCTTTGGCAAGAGTCGCCCAACCGAATTCGCGCGGTAAAAATTACCGCAATTTCAAGCTCCTGGAAACATCCAAATTCAAAGGGATTTTCAGGATAACAGACACCCAAGGGATCATATTCGTCCATGACAACTTAAAACTCAAAAATATCACAACACAATTTCTAGGGTAAGTACATACACTACATCAACAAATCAAAACCAATACCCAAACCAATTTGTTTAAAGCCTTACCATATCCTGGCTGAGAGACAACAAGGAGGAATTCGACGAAATCCAAGTGAGAATAGTGAAAGAACCGAACGAAACGTGCAGCAGCGCCAAGAGGTTCGCCGATTGGGCCGTTTGCTCCGAATTCGAGACCATAGACGAGTGCCTGGGCCGCGATTCCTGCGGAATAGGCACCGGAGGGTCGGCCAGCGTCGAATCCAGAAGAGGCCCGGAGAGGTGCATGTGGAGAGGAGACGCAATCACCTCCAACAGCACCCATTTATATTCCACTTGCACTCCTGATGTAAACACTTGCCCGGACGGCGAATGCGACTCATTAGAAAGCCTATCTTTTACTTTGTGTCCGCAGGATTGCACTGGTTAGTGCCGGTTTGAGTTAAATAATTGTAGTTACAATTCAGTATTTATTTCAGAATCTGTTAGTTGGCCTTTGAAGCTCGCTAGAGGAGGTAAGGGAGTCGACGAGGCCAGCGGAACGGTAATTTGCTCCTCTTTGGGATGCACCAGGATTAACTCTAGAAGATCCCAGATCAAGAAGAGAAAAGACGATAAAGCTAAACAACACCACGATAGGTTGTTACACACGCTATCGAAAGCGGTTAACGAAAGTTTTGTGCAAAAAGAAAACATCACAATGGGAGCATTAGGTATTATAAATCCGAATTTAATATCGCTTTCTTTTTGTTACAAATGCCTCATTCCAGTAAAGACCCATTGCGATTTCCTCTGCGTAATCGGCATCGGATCGGCGTCGCTGTTTATCATAAGCACGATAGTCTTCGTAACCGTGTATTGGAGCTTACGCAAGTCCAAAAAATCCGCGCGCAGTAACCCGGAGAAAAGCAATCAAGAACTGACGGCCCCATTATCTCTCCCTTCCAACAGGAACAACTTCGGGGATTCCTTGTCGTTCAATTTCCAATTGAATGACACGACTTTCATCAACAACTTCGTCAAAAAACACACTGTAAGTTACTTATGTTTACATTGCATTATTAATATAGGGTTGGGGATAGAGATAGGGATGTAAAATTTGAACCCAATTATTTTTACGGCTCCATAAGTGTTCGCTTCCATCTCGTTACTCTCTGATATTCGAAATAACGCGCTAATGATGTAGCTACCTGAAAATTTGATGTAACGTAATCGACGCTTACAAGGTGAACTCTTACATATTCTACATAAAATTAATATCCTTGTTATTAGTATACATAAGTAAGATCTAATTCAACTTCCAAATTTTAATTTGCTACTAGTGATATACGAGTACTTAAATGAATTGGACATGAAGTAGATAAACATTCACCATGTAAATATACAATTCGGGTGATAATTTGCGAACGTTTATCTTGTCGCATGTAGCCGGATCCCAAATGGGAATTTCCCAGATCGCAGCTTGTCATCGAGCAGACCCTGGGCGAGGGGGAGTTCGGCAAAGTCCTCAGGGCCAAAGCGCACAACGTAGCCGGCAAACCAGGTTAAAATTTCAAAATATAATTAACGACGGCGCTTCTTACGTGCTTTTCGGTTCGTCAGGTCTAACAACTGTAGCGGTGAAAACGCTGAAAGACGACGCCCGGGAATCCGAGCTCAACGATCTGCTATCGGAGTACCAGCTGTTGAAGGAAGTTTCCCATCCGAACGTGATCAGATTGCTCGGCGTGTGCACTTCTCCGGGTGGACCCGTGTATGTTATCATAGAATACGCCGAGTTGGGTTCTTTGAGGTAACAATCGTGGAATTACTAATAAAGTTTACTCTAATTGTAACGACGCAATGTATAGAAATTATTTGAGAAGAACGAGGAAACTTCAAACGCACATTCTAACCAAAGAGGAGCTGGTTTGCCATTATGATGAGCCCAAAGTGAGCGATGTCACGCCGAAGGATCTCTTGTCGTTTGCCTGGCAAATTTGCAACGGAATGCATTATCTCAGCGATATGAAGGTAATATACCTTAATTAAATAAAATATTTATATTATAATAATTCTCATTATTTTTCAGTTAGTCCATAGGGATTTAGCGGCTAGAAACGTTCTACTTTCCAGTGACAAAGTATGCAAAGTATCAGATTTCGGTCTAACTAGAGACGTTTACGAAGACAACGCTTACCTTAAGAGAAGCAAAGGAAGAGGTAATATAATACAACTTATAATACCTACCACTTACCAATTCTGTTGCAGTGCCAGTAAAGTGGATGGCTCCAGAATCCCTTTCCGATCACATTTACACAACCAAATCGGACGTGTGGAGTTTCGGCATACTAATATGGGAGTTAGTAACTCTAGGGGCAACTCCTTACCCGGGCATAGCAGTCCAGAATCTATTCCATCTGCTCAGGCAGGGTTACAGGATGGAGAGGCCAGACAATTGTTCACCGGATTTGTTAGAAACCCATCTCTTTTCGTCTATTTAAAATGCATTGGTTTGTGGATTTTTAGGTACAAAATAATGAGGAATTGTTGGGACATCGACCCGGAACAGAGACCTACATTCCTGGAACTCAGCATGAGATTTGCTAAATTACTCGAAGATAAAATGGAATACATTAATCTTTCTTCTAACGCTATTTATAACAAGGGTTACTTCGCTTCCCCTTTCAACGAAGAAGATGGTAGGATGAGTTAATATTGTTTTGTATAAACTGATTTTAATTTTGGGTGTAATTTTTAGAGATAGATGAAGGTGAAATAACGCCGGAATCATCGGAAACCAGTCCGCTTAATTATCTGTCGAGAACGACATCTTACGAAAAATGCGATGCAAGAGAAAGGGAAATAAACGAGGAAATGGAAAAAATCGCTGAGAATTCACAAGCTTATGAAACGCCCGTTAAAATACCCAGAATAATGAAGACTCCAAGCAATGAGAATCCTCAAGAATATACAGACATGGGTGGAAAATGAGGCTACCTAAAGTAGCCCGAAAAAATCATGATTATAATTGTGAACAAATCATTCTTTTAAGCTCTTTAATGACGGTGTTGCTGGTAATGTTGCAGTACAAAATTGAATTCGGGATGAATTGTTGAAATGAATGAATTTTTCTGATGGAAATTAATAACAGTAATTTTGATTACCTCTGCAACTTTTGTTTGCGTTTCCTTTTGTCGTGTATAAACTAATAGGTACTCCACTTGCGTGATTTAAAAAAATTGCATGAACTTATTTGTAGCTTTTAAAGTTCTAAATATCTAAATACAAGAATTTATATCTTAAATATTTTTAATTACATATTTAAATGCTAAGAAAAGTTTGTAAAATAAAATATAATAGATATTATTACAACTGAAGATTATTAGATTTTTTCATAATTAGACCATACTAGTTTTTCAATCCATCCAATATAGTGGAAATTTATAATAGTAATTTTGTTTGCGTTTACGTTTGTCGTGGATAAACACTAATATTCCACTTGCGTAATTTTAAAGATTTGCATGAAATTATTTGCTGCTTTTAAAGTTCTAAAATAACTACACGAATTAATATCTTTATTATTTTTTAATCACATATTTAAACCTCCAGACAAATGTGTAAAATAAAATCCAATATTATTAACACAGGAGATCATCATTACATATTTGTTATTTAATTAGACCATACTAGTTTTTCAATCCATCCAATATAGTTCGAAATTCTCATGTATACAGAAGGTTTATTTGTGTCATTTGAAGTGCAGGGAATACCAAACGAAGTTATACCAATAACATCATACATGCATTTAACACTTTCTGTATCTGGATGAACCAGCATAAGTGGATAACCGGAAATACCCTAAAAACAAATACAATTGTACTTCCCGTTAATTACAAAGCAAATCGTCGTTTACTTACAATACATGAATTCCTATCAGTTCTCGTCCCAGCGCAGATCATTGATGCTTCATCGATTCCCTTATCTAAATCCGAATGTTTTACCAAAGGCTGGTAGACTTTATTGCATTCAGCATTGGAGAAAATATCCAAGGTAACCTTCAGCAATTTCTTGTCATCGAAACCATCATCCAAACCCAACCATTTCCTCCCCCATGAAGTGCTTAATGTAGTTTTCTCGGGAATGTTGTGTTGAGTGTACAAGCAAGCAGGTCGCAGGTAAGGATTCAAATCGAAAGGTCGATCGACTTCCACGAGAGCGATGTCGTTGTATTTCTTGTTGATAGAAGGATGTAAAAATGTTCGTGTAATATTTCTGATTTGCTCGTGCTTTGTTTCATCTATGTCGGTTAATCCTCCACGCGCAAATTTTAATGTACCGTAGCCGATTCTGAAATATATGTACTATGTGTTATCTCCTGGTTTGGTTTTAGTAGGAATTTTTACCTAGATCCAGTAGGTATGCAATGACCTGTTGTTGCAATGAAGGTAGGACTTAAGAGAATTCCACCGCAAATCCAAGTTGTTTTGTCGTTATTGATGTACCCCAATTGGATCTATAAGTTGGGTAATATTAGAGTGTATTTTTATGGGAAGTTTCATAGTCACCGTATGAGGAAACTCTCCTTCCGATGCTACCGTTTTATTGGTGATGTAAGATTCTGGTTTTATAAGGCATTTTAATTTAGTTGAACCAAGTGGTTCATAGGCATATTGTGAATATTGTTTGCACACTGAAATAGGTTTTTCCAGAATGTATTTTGTCTAAATTGAAAGAACCGATTAAACTTACTTTCTCTAGCTTTATCACCTGGTACTTTAGTTGTCTCTTCGGCTGGTACTATAATATTATTAGAGAAATATAATAAGTATTAGTTTCATAATTTACTGTCTTCATTAATAACACATGTTAGGATATAATCCTTAATAACATTATTCATAATTCACAAAGTCACATTTTAGGATAGACATGATAATAATTTGAACATTTAAATTGTACGTATTTTTTTCAAGGGGTATTGCGATATGCTATGAGAGCCAATTTTAAAGACTAATCCAAAATACGATTGCATTTAAATTCTAATCTCTGTAGCGCTATATTTAAATATAGTTTCATTTTTATTTCATTTAACGATAACCGAACAAAGTAATACGTAATAAGAGAGGGATACCGTTGGATATTTCCAATTATCGAGTCCAAAATGTAGATATATTACTGTCTTTGATTAAATTAGATTTAATATAGTTGAGTTCCGTAATTGGATTATCTAAAGGTAAACTACATACCTTCCTCTAATAGCCCCAACGTAAATACCAGAACAACGAAAATATTAAAACTTCTTTCAAACTTGACCATGATGTTTAGCCGGTTGTTGTTTACTGTTCAAGCTGAAGAAACAAACTGATCGAATCAAACTGTTTGTTGTTTTCTTTATATGCTAATAATGCAATAAAATATACTGGTTTTTTTCGTTAATAATTGCTTGAAGATTTTTTTGCGACAATCTATAATTATATTAAAAATTTATGGTTTTGATGCCTAGTAAATTTACATATTTTTATTGGAAAATTATGCCATTAAGTTCAACTTAAATTAACTGAATATAAATATTACTGAATACTAATACTAGTACAACTAAAGATCATAGGATTAATACATTGGCCACACTAGTTTTTCAATCCATTCAATGTAGTTCGACATTCTTTGGTAGACAGTAGGTATAATCGTATTGGCACTGCAGGAAGCACCAAACGCTGTTATAGCAATAACATCGTACATGCATTTAACACTTTCTGTAACTGGATGAAACAGCATTAGTGGATAACCAGAAATACCCTAAAAACAAATACCACTATAAATTCTATTAATTGCAAAACAAAACACTGTTTACTTACAATACATGAGTCCCTAATAGTTCTAGTCCCTGCACAAATCATTGATGCATCATCGATTCCCTTAAACACATTAGAATTCTTTCTGTTAATGAAAGGCTCGTAGAAAGTATTACACTCAGTAGTGGAGAAAATATCCAAGGTAATTTTCAGCATTTTATTGTTATCAAACTTAATCATATCCCAAGAAGAAGCTAATATAGTTTTCTGGGGTATGTCATGTTGAGTGTACAAACAAGCAGGTCGCAGGTAAGGATTCAAATCGAAAGGCCGATCGACTTCCACGAGACCGATGTCGTTGTAAAACTTGTTGATAGAAGGATGTAAAAATGTTCGTGCAATATTCCTAATTTGCATGTGCTTTCTTTTATTTATGTCGGTTATTCCTCCACGTGCAAATGTTACTAGACCCTGTCTGATAAAATTTTTTGTTACCTATGGGTTCAGTTTTAATGGGAAAGTTGGTGTACCTTGGTGTACTAATTATGCAATGACCTGTTGTTACAATGAAAATAGGGCTTATCAGATTTCCGCCGCAATTCCAAGTTGTTCTATTGCCAGTGATGTACCCCAACTCTATCTACAAGTTGGATAATATTAGAATGTATTTTTGGTGACTTTCGTACTCACCATATGCGGAAACTCTCCTTCTGATGGTACTGTTATATTGGAGATATAAGATGTTTGTTTTATAGGGCATTTTAATTCAGTTGAACCAAATGGTGTAGATTCATAGGCATATTGTGAATATCGTTTGCACACTGAAATAGGTTATTCCTAAATGTATTTGGTTTAAATTAAAAGAGCAGATTAAACATACTTTCTCTAGCTTTATCACCTGGTACTTGTTGAGCTGCAACTATAATATTATTAGACAAATATAATAAGTATTAGTTTCATAATTTACTGTCTTCATTGATAGAAAATGTACTACTTGAAATTACCAGAAAACTACCACATTTTAAGGTAGGTATGAAAATATTATAAAAAATCAAATTTACGTATTTTTATTACTGGTAATAAAATTCTATAAATAAAAATTATAAAGAATAACCCAAAAATAATATTTTACTTAAATTTTAATCTCTTTAGCAATATTTAAATATAGTTTAACTGTTATTTTACTTCCCCAACGATAAGAGAACAACATAATAAGAGCCGGATCCCATTGGGTATTTCCAATCATTCATTTAAAAATGTAGATATGTTACTGTTTTTGATTAATTAAATTAATTTTAATATGGTTGAATTTATTAAACTATTTACTTTCCTCTAATTGCCCCGACGCATAATTAGTACGGAAAACTAAAATATAAAATTAAATAAATTTCGAGTTACTAAAACTTACTTCTTCTCACTAAGTCACCTGGTGGTTTGGTGTTGCATAAATTGGGCCTCTGGTATAAAGGTGTTGAGGTTGGAGTGTTTGTACGTCTTGCAATAAGCGGTGTAGGCGTTCTTTGAGTTACAATAGGACGTGGGGTGTCATTTTCGCAGCATATTATCGATTTAATGCCTTTATAGCCGCATACATTTGTGGGAAGTATACCCTTTTTAAGGTCAGATATAGCTTGCGGACAGTCAGTTAGAAATTCGCAAACTCCATTTCTGCCGCATCGGTCGCCTTAAATTTATATCATTTTAATGACACTCCTTTATAAGTATGAGTTTCACTGTACGAACAGTTTCTTATTTTTTAAGAAATTTTGCATACATAAATGTATTAGGTATGTATTTGTTGTATCTGAGTTAGATACGCGAATCTCAGATGCAATATTTACGTCTAAAAGAGCTCGATTACAATTAAAATAAAGACAGCGCAAAGAATTAGATATTACCCAGCTGTTTGAATCTAACATACCTTCCTCTAATTGTCCCAATGCAGATGCTACAAGAATTAAAAAAATATTTACCACCCTTTCACACTTGACCATCGTGGGATCAACTGAACTGATCACGTTGATGAAACAAACTGGTCAACTTAATGCAAGCAGCGAGATTTTTTGCGAAGTGGTTTTTTAAATACGTAGGCAACAACAACAACAACACATTGATATGATATGCCAGTAGATGTGCCAGTTTTTTGAGGAATTGCAATAAGCCTGGGCGATTTGTTTATTTATTAGCTAACGAATTTTGTTGCTTAATTCAATGGTCAGTGAAACTAATTTTATTTAGTAGTAAAGAGATTAGTTTTAGTAGAATCAATTTTATTTCTTGGCGTTCATTAATTTTCGTTAAATAATATCGAGCGAGATCATTAATCAACAATAAAATAATCCATTTAGTGTTTTAAAACAAAAATTGTATAAGTATAAATGCGTTAATATTTATTATAACATTAAAATTCGTTCAAACGCAATTTTTAAGTAAATATCACATATTATATGTCCACATTATATGTCAGAAGAATTTTAATTAGGCCATACATTTTGCTCTATCCATGCCACATAATTCGAAACTCTCGTGTACACCGATGGAAGGTTCTTTGCCAATCCGCAATAATATCCGAAGGAAGTTATACCAATAACGTCGTACATACATTTAATATCTGGCGCATCGGGATGGACCAACACTAGCGGACCGCCGGAATCTCCCTAAAAATAAACCCCAATCAAATTTCCGCAACTAAAAAAAAAATACCACCGAATTTCCTTACATTACAAGTGTCCGACTTATTTACCCTAGACCCGGCGCAAATCATCGACCCTTCATCGATTCCCATGTACAAATCGGAATCAGCTTTGTTGATCGAACGTCTGTAGGTGTTATTGCATTCGGCTGTCGTGAAAAATTCTAATGTAACTTTCAACAACTCCTTGCTACCTCCTTCAAGACCGTACTGGGTGTTTCCCCATCCCGAAGCTATCGAGGTTCTGTACGGTATGTAATGTTGAGTGTACAAACAAGCGGGTCGCAGGTATGTGTTCAAATCGAACGAACGATCCACCCTTAACAGAGCAATGTCGTTGTATTTCTGGTAGTTGTACGACGGATGATTGATCCGTTGGATAACGTTTCTCACTTGCACGTGTTTGGTTTCGGTTTGATTGGTAAATCCCCCTCGTGCCAATTTAACGTCGCCTCTAAAACAAAACTTTTATAGCTTTGGTTCGGTTTCATTGAGTCAGCTTACAATGCGTGGCCGTGTACGCAATGGGCTGCTGTGAGGATGAATTTTGTGCTAATGAGTGTTCCACCGCAAGCCCACTCCGTTTCTGTGCCACTCAAGTATCCTAAATGTATCTAAAAGTGCAAGGAACATGGTAAATATTAGGGAATTGAATTGGTATTACCGCTCACCATATGAGGAAACTCTCTTTCCGATGCTTGAGTACCGTCAACTATAAGTGGTACCGTTTTTATGGGACATATTAATTCACTAGAAAAAGTTGTGTCTAGGTTTAAAGTTTGCGAAGGTATTTTTTCGTAGGCGAATTGCGCGTATTCTTTGCACACTAAAAAAGAAATTTATTGAAGATAATGCAAGTTAAAAGAGTTACTTAAACTTACTTTCCTTCGCTTTGTCACCTGGTGCTTTGGCGTTCGATAAATTGGGTCTCTGGCGTACAGTAGTTGTGGTTGGAGGACTTGTACTTCTTGTAATATGCGGTGTAGGCGTTCTTTCTGTTACAATAGGACGTGGGGTGTTATTTTCGCAGCATATTATCGATTTAGTGCCTTGATAGCCGCATATATTTGTGGGAAATATACCCTTTTTAAGATCAGCCATAGCTTGGGGACAGTGAGTTATGAATTCGCAAACTCCGTTTCTGCCACATTGGTCGCCTTAACATAAAAAAAAACATTAATAATTCACGATAATTCATTCATTATGTATAGCCTTAAAATGCAAAAAACGTCCCAAATAACAAATAATTAATTTAGTATGTATGACTTGAAAGTTAAAAATATATAATTTGTAAGTTCAATAAATTTTATCACTTTCGGAATTTATTAATACTAGTAGTTTCACTTTTTTATTGATAACACTTGAATAAATAACTAATGAACACATTTGGGATTACCGATGATTTGTCTTAGATAATCAGTGTAGGGTAATAATAATGTATTAAGAAGAATTATCTTAAAAATTGCGCACTATAAAATGAAAACAATTTATGTGATATCAATAAGTATTAATAATATTTTAAATTATCTTGTTTGTGAGAGAAGAAATTGTACAATGCATTATAGAATTAACCTTTGGCAACAATTATTTTAAAATTCAAATAGATCTATGTGTGTATTTGAAAACCCCGTTGATTCGTATATAATTTGTTTACAGATACGTAAAGATTATCGTTTTTAATGTTTTCCTGAAAACTAATTAAAACTACATAACTTTTGTCATTAGTGTAACAAATACATTTTTGTTCATATGAATTGTAGTATAAACCAACTCAGTAAATTATGAATTTTAACTTAATTTGAATTTTTAATAAAATTTTGATTTTTAATAAACAATCAAAAATATATGTTCTTTACCCACCCTGTAAATGGATACATTTTATCTCATTTTTACGAGGCTGCTTTCCGTGCTTTATAACTATAAGTATCACAACATAAACAGTTTCTTATTTTTAAAAAATGTTGCCGTTCACCTTGTAAATATCACTTTAACGCATGTAAATTCAATCGGGCAATTAAAATAAAGGCAGCGGAACGAATTACATTTTACCTAACCGCATGAATTCAGCTTACCTTCCTCTAATTGTCCCAATGCAGATGCTACAAGAACTAATAAAATATTTACTACGCTCCCTCCACACTTGACCATCGTGGGATCAACTAAACTGGTCACGTTGATGATACAAACTGGTCAAATTAAATATTAAATATTCGTGTTGTCGTCCTCACTTAAACTTCTTCCATTTGACAACTTAATAAAAGCAGCGAGATTTAATGGTTTATATACGTAGGCAACAACAACAACACGTATATTGATATGATATTATAATGTAGATGTGCGAGTTTCTTGAAGAATTTGCATAAGCCTGGGCGATTTGTTAATTTATTAGCAAACGGATTTTGTTGCTTAATTCCATGGTCAGTGAAGCTAATGTTATTTAAACGCAAATTTGCATGCATACGCGCATACAAATTATTATGCGGTTTTGTGCTTAGTTTTACTGTTGTATTCAATTTTACATCTTGGCATTAATTAATTTTATTAGGTAATGAGGTAGTGAAACAGCGATTTCTTCTTAATATTTATTTGAACCAATATCAAGTGAGATCAATAATCAACAATAAAATAATCCAATTAGTGTTTTTAGAACAGAAATTATATAAGAATGAACGTATAACATCGAACGGAACAAGTGGTAATTTTTTTGAAATTAAGAAAATAAATTAACAATATATTTTTTTTCACTTATATCTACTAGTTTGCCATATAGTAACTTTATATACAATTTATGTTTAAGTTTAGACTAGTGTGAATTCAATGAATGCAACTTTCTCGTTAAAGAACGTTGTTTTAATATTCTCAAAAGGAAAATGGACTTTTATTTGATATTAGATAAATAATTCTTGGATTCTAATAAATTGCTTTTAGTATTATTTCGGTCTAATTTTTTAGCGAGAAAGTCGCAAATAGGGATGAAGTTGTAGAAAAAACGGCTTAAATATACACAGGTATTAAAAATAAAACAAATATTCCAGCTCATCTTAGTTCACTTCCATCCTGGTGCTAAATTTTCAGATTTTTTAGTGCTTATCACGATTATAGGGTAGGTATAATAAACATCCAAACGTAAATCTTACAGAGGAAAGTGACGTGCATGCGATTTATTTCTTATACTGCATACAATTTTACAGCGATTTTTTTTCACCTATCAGTACTTGGCAAATAAACCTTATCGATCGCATAAAGGACGTCTCAAACCCTCTTGAATTGATGGATTTTTCACAAATTTTACTGGGCCCTTACAGGCCTTTTATTACGTGCGGGATTGAAACACCCTTTACATGTTAAACGAGATGTTATTACGCTATTTTTCAACTTCTTCATTCTTCAGAAAATTTTATCGTATTCCGCAATAAAATAAGCAATTTGCGTAACTCCCCCGGAATCGGGCGAAACACCCTCAACCGAACAATCGTCGTTATGACAATAAACTCGACGCGTTAAGTCGCAAAACATACGACTAATTCGAGTTTATAGCGGCGTCGGCATTGCGGGTGCCGGAGGAATCGCGTACAAAACAATTTTTTTCTTACACCGCCCGCGCGAAATCCCGGCCTCTCTCGAATCGCCGTAATCCGCAAGATGGAGCTGGAAAGTTTCGGTAAATCCTAAGGGAACTCGAACGCAAACGGATCCTCTTTTTCGCCCCGGGATCGCCGCGAACGGACAAAAGGACATCATCTACCGGGAGATTTTCCGCTGCATTTTTAATACCAGCGCGTCCGTTCGCCGGGTCCCGCGCCGCCGAAAAAGCGGACGCCATTCCATCGGAAGATTCAAGTAGGTAATTTTTTCTTATCAGTTATGCGCACGTAGCATTTTGAAACGAAGAAGGAAAAAGGTACACACACCTCCGAAAGCAGCGCGAAATAGGGGAATGTTCGTTCGTTGTAAAGCGCTACGTGACGTTCTGAAACATTTAATTTTTTTTTTCTTAACACGCACATTATCGACATTGGCTGAATAGAGCACTAAATTGGAGAAGAGTCTAGGAAAAAATACAACTTAACAGTAAGCCAACAGAACGTAGGAGATGAACGCCAACGCGCCCAGAGAGGGGCCCATACGCTGATTGCCCCCGTGTTGCATCGCTTCTGGATGTTCACCTGAAATACACAATACATTTTATTATTATCACTTATCAAAACAATTTTTCATCTAAAAATCGTCTCGAACTCATAGCCTCAGGTCCCGGTATACTGCTGTAAATAGGAAACGAAATCCTATACCTATCCCCGGTTCTCATTAGCGCGAAAAACTTTTATAAGGAATGTCCCGAACTTCGCGTTGCATTAATTAGGCCGCCTTAAATCGAAATCGACGGAAAGTCGATGAATCGCCCGAAAGAAAATCCCGTCCGCGAACGGGCGACTAATTACAGTTCCTTTTGGAACGCTCGCCCCGAAAAAAAAGACCCATTGTATAATTAGCGCGCGAATTAAATATTCCGGAGTCTATTCCGGCGGGAATCCCCGGTCGAGGGGGTCAACGTGATCGGCGAGCGAAATGTCGGCGGGGTTTAATTAATAGAAAGAAACTCCGGGAAATCTGGAACACCGGACGCCGTTATAACGGGACATTTAACGGCGCTGAGCTTGCGGTATTTTTACTGTGATGATATCTTTTCGAATTCATAAAACGGGGTAAAAATGTAGTTTTATAACTAATTATCTTTAATATGGTTTATTTTTTTTGCTATCGGGAAAAAGTTAATTATGCTGTATAGGAACTTTGATCGTTTTTAGATGTATACCTTTACTGGAGATTTTTCTTTACTTTGATAGAACTCTTATTGGAAGTTTTTGATTAGTTTCTGATTATCAAAAGTTGAATAAATTTGCTAACAAGGTGGGGCTTTTTATATTAGAATTTTAGTGTTTTCTTCGAATAATCCGAAATGGTTTTTTAGGAATTACATCAACTAACTGAATCGAACCTTTTCTAAATTTACTCGATATTTAAAAAGTTTTGAAAAATTGGCTCGACGCCAAGCACTTTCACCGCTTCCCCCGGAAAAAAAAAACTTTCCCGTTTTCAATTCGAAACGACCCCAAAAAAGTCACTTAATTATTTCTCCTCATCGTTTATTTTTTCACCATAACAGACGTTGACGTTTAATCAACAATCCCGCGTAAAATTTTTAATTTTTTTGGTAAATCTTTGGGCACTATTCAGAGATCATTCATATAAACTTAAAATCTTGTTTGTCAATTTTATTTTGCCATTTGAACAGTTCTGGACTAGGACCATTCGAAACATTTCAGCACGATTTTAGAACCTTTTAATAGGTTCTAATAAAAAAAGCCAGAACCGAACAAAAACCAATTTAGAATAGACAAGAACCATTTGAAACAGCTCAGGATGATCTTAGAAACGTATCGAACAAATCCAGAATCATTTAGGACCAATTTAGAACCGACTAGGACTATTAGAAACAACTCAGGACCATCTTATGACCATAAAAGCTGTCCAAAATCATTTATAACCAATCAAAAACTGACCAGCACCATTTAAAACAGCTCAGGACGATCATAGAAGCAAATAGAACAGTCTATAGAACAAATTTAGAACGTATATGAACCATTTGAAATGATCAAGACGAAGATTCATGACGATCTTAGAACTATTTAGAACAGTCCAAAATCATTTAGAACCAATCTTATAGGATTACTTGGAACAGTTCATGACGGTCTTAGAATCATATTGAATAACCTAGAGCAATTAAGAACTGACAAGGACCATTTGAAACAGTTCAGGATGATTTTACTATTAGAACAATTTAGAACTGTTCAAATCATTTAGAATCGACTGTGACCATTTGAACTAGATAGTTTAAAACAGCCCTAAAATAATTTAGAAATTAATTAATTCTCCTCAACATTTATTTTTTCAACGTAACAGACATATTGACGTTTAATCAACAATTCCGTATAATTCTTAAGAACATTTTTAAATCTTCGGGGACTATTCAGAGGTCATCGCTTCGATCTTGGTATAAATTTGAATCTGATTTGTCCATCGACTGGAATTTCTTTTAGCCGTGTGTTGAACACCCCATCGGTTGTCAATGGGGGATGAAGAGCGAAGTCGATGCATTATTCATGCAGCGGGGATAGCACAATGAGTTTTGTTCCTGATTTACAGGCCCTCCGGCCGAAAACGATGAGCTCCAATGAATTCCGGCCGGTTAGTTAAATGACCTGTGCGCGCCGGATAAATGGCGCTTAATTTTTTTAATCGAAAAATCCAATTAAAAAAGAAAATAATAAAGCCGGATAACGTCTTGCTGGCATTACGTGCGGAAGAACCTGCGTACACCGGGCATTAGAAAAGTAATTACTCAAGAAAAACAGAGTGAAATAATTCATTAATATGCATGAGCGGGAGGAGGAGAAAAACGTTCAGTCGAAACTCGTTAAAAGTAAAACGAGGGACATTGCGTCCCTATATAAAAATGGGAAGGAGATTACCGGGCAATTGGAAGCGTTAAAACGATCCCAAAGTATTACAAAAATTCGGCATCCACTAGATAGAGTATATAATAGGTATTTTTTATCGCTCCATCCCGCATTCGAGGTACATAAGTCAAGTATGGCGCGCCAACTAGACCAAATAAATCAATTTTTCATCCGCATGATGTTTCCATAGCAGCCAGAAATCGGAATAAAACAAGGGACAGTTCGGTCGGAGGTAAACAAAGCTTCCTGTATACCCTTTAGGGATAAGGTCATCCGATTTTGAGCACGTCCCTCGTTGTTTTCGGGCCATGTGCGTCGGGACGTAAGAAACCTCCGCTCATAGCCCGATCAATACGTTATTATTAACTTCAAAAAGATTCATTATTCACGCTTTTACCTATAATGATTACGAGAGTACCCATCAAAAAAATGTAATTGATGAATACGAGTAGATAGGAGTATATGTGTAGCGACGCTACTGTCGCGAATCCGCAGAGTAATTATAAAATTCGGCAATTTTCTCTCTAAATATTAAACGAACGCCGGGTAACCTATATCTCCGAGCGGGAGAAGTGAATTATAATCCCGCTCGGGTGTTTTGCTCCGGCTCCACAACAGAAACATGTTTAACTCGAGTCAACCAATTAGCAAACGAGGGTCAGTAAACCCTTTTTTCTCTCGAATAATACAAATATCGAAACTCCATTATATCATCCGCAGCGTCCCTTTTCCATCGATTTAATAAGATTATTTGGCGGTCTTACCGTTCAAAACGTGTACTGTCACATTGGCCGGCTTGGCATTGGAAGGGTTGCACTGATAACTTCCCGAGTCCGATGGTTTGGCGTTCTGCATCAGCAGTACACTCCTGCTGGTTTCGCCTCTTTCCGTTGACACGCTCACGCCTCCTCTCGAACTCATGTAGCTGATGATCTGCAATCAATACACAATAATTATTCTCTGTAATTACTCGTTTTGTTTATTGAAACAGCTCATAATGATCTTAGAATCTCTCAAAATCATTTAGAACTTATTTAAAACCTACTACGACCATTTAAAATAGTTAAGGGCGATGTTAGAACCATTTAGAACTGTCCAAACTGTTCTGAACCTTTCATGAAACTTTCTCATGAAAATCGTACTCTGTAGAAAGTAAAGGGATGGAAATGAAAATAAATTGCAAATGAACATTGCACATATTCTAAAAATTTATAAAATGAATACTTTTCGTAAATTTTAATCATACTGCTTACAGGGTGAACCCGAAAGTTCAAAAGTGTATATGCCACCCTGTACAAATGGCGCTTAAATGGAAATATATAATGTTTTATTATAAAATAAACCTTTAGTGATATAATATATGGTCAGAATACTGCAAAACAAGTGGATTTTAAAATATATCAGGATGTTTATTACTTGAAGAGCAACCGCTATACAGTATTATAGTCTATCTCGTAAACTGAAACTTAAAGGTTTTAACGAAAGGCTATAACAATTTTAAAGGTTCTAAAATAAACTGTTAAAATGAATGTTCATTATTTACTGAAACAGAAGCGATTCGACGAAATAATAAACTCTTTTTTTTTTCACCTCGGGTATCGATACATATTTAATTAATTTCCCCGGCAACAATTCCTGCTGGCATTAAATTTTTTCCTCCACGGTTTTCCTTTGAAACGTATTTTACTCCTGTCAGACAGTTTTCGTTAGGTTTCTCGCCGTTTGTACCGCAAACCTACCTGTCTGAATTAATTATTCCCACTGTGTATTATATCTGTCTCGCGAGCGGAAATTCCTAACAGTCTTTGAACGTTTTATCCACAATTTAATATCTCCGAAAACTAATTATCCGAGCACCCTTCGTCTGCGAGAAAGGAAAATACTTCCGAAGTTCGCGCTCAATCGGCCGGGGTTGCTCCTATTTGCGAGTACTTACTCTTTGAATATCGCTTTCTCCATTAAATAGGGCTTTTAAAAGCGGTAACGGTGATTAGGGGTATGTCTAAAATAAAAATAACTCCCTAGTTTAATTATTACCAGTCATTACTTAGCGAAGATAATGCGAAATTATTATTAATTTACAGCATACACATGTAAAGTGTTTAATTACTGTGTGAAATTTTTGATTAAGGGTTGATGAGGGTTGTTTCTAATTTGGGAATTAGAATTTTACGATTGTTTTTTTCTTGGGTATTTTCCGGTCGATTTAATGAGATGGGGGGTTTGATCCGGTTTGGATCGAAGGAGAGTAAAACGTAAAACTCGAAACATCCGCGCTCGGGAAAACTACACTTTTCCGAATCTCGAATGAAACGTAGAAAAATTTAAATATTGACAAGTCGAAGGAAACTCCGATATGTAACGTTGTAAAATTGATGGCGCGTCAAACGCAGAAAAACAGACGCCTTTTGTTCCTTTCCGAAAATAAAACTTCACCCTTCTTCCTGAATAATTCGGATTCTTTTTGTGAAGCGGAAAGCGCCCACGCTTTCGAAAGATTTTTGCCTTAATAAAACAAAGCGCGTTGCAGTAGTTAATAATAATTAATTTTTTCCCGCTATTAAATATAAAGTAATCACGCGAAGTTTCGTAATTTCTGCATTTTTTTCCGTCCGCACTAAATAGGCGAGTTGCTACCTCTATAATTGATACGTTTCACCGGATACCCGGGGGAACAATATTTTCCCTGTATCGATGTTTTTTGTATCAAATATCTCTTGCCTTGAAAACTAAATAGGGGGTAGAAAACATCCGAACGACTCCCCGGGGAAGCGCCAGTAGCAGGAATTTTTTTTATTACCCACCGAGAAAAATGTCGTTTCGAACGATTAGGTTAATGTTATTACACCTACTTACAGGGTTATTTGTACAATTTCCATCCCACAATCCTAAATCTATTACTTATTACAAAAAGTAAGTTACAAAAACTCTATTATAACACCTTTTATTACGCGCATAAAAGAGGAGAGTAAAATAGTAAAACGTTAAAATTTAAGTGTTTAAACTTGAGTGTACCCTGCTCTAATGAAATTCCTCGTCTACTCGAACTGTTATTATTTATTATTACTAAAATGATTGCCAGTTTCCATCCTAAATTTCCATAAAACGTAACGCGTCGACGTCGAAAAGCTTTAATCCCATTTAACATAAAATAATAATTGATCATCCGTTCGTCGGGAAATATTGTTTACGGAAACATTAATTAATGTTGTTGTTGATTCAGTAAATGATAATTAGTCGGTTTCTCTTCCCTTTTGTGGCTGTATACCTACATATATTAAAACAGGAATGATCGGGTGCATCACCCCTGTAATCACACGATGTCGTGTTGGTTTACTTTACGCTTTACGAAATACGGGGTAAATATTCTAAAAATTTATCGTATTTTGCTGTGTTAATTCTGATTGGTAGACAATCGAAAGTTTTATTACGAGTAGGTACATTAATGATGTATTTGGTGCTATATTTGTAACATTAAATTAGTCATAAAAAAGAATATGTAGTGGAAAAATGCTTATACGAAAGCTAAATTAGGTTTAATCAAAATACATAGTCGAATCGTCAGTACAACGGAGGATTTCCACTGGCGGTGTCGGGCAATAAAATATTTTTATGCGAAAAATCTTCATAATTTACCGCCAGTCCGGAAATTGCCCTTATGCTCGGCCGTTGCAGCCGAAACTATACAAAAAACCGTGTAATACGCGTTCTAACCGGTAATGAAAATTCAAGCTTTATGCATGCTCTCGCGTACACGAAAAAACTTCCACTCTTGCGCGTAAAAATTAAACGATATTCCAGTTTGAAATTTAGTGAAAAATTGCCTGTATTCAGAAGTTTTGTATAACCAATAACTTTTGTAACCAACCAGTTTTATTTACACACTGTTAAATTTCAATCGGTATTCAGAAGTTGAAATAATTAGTTACAAAATAAGTGTATGGTTTTTATCCGGTAGAATTGTCAAATACAACAAGTAAAGGAAGTCGCAGCAAAATGTTAGTAAGATATTCAGTTAAAATAATTATAATTTATTTTACAGGGTGTTCTCGAACTTATGGCACTAAATTCTAGGGGTGTTTGTTTGCATAATTTAAAACGTTACCGATACCGATTGTTTTCTAGTACGAATTGTATTGTTTTGTTTATAACATCGGGGTTAAATAGAATTTTGTTATTAGAGTTTTGTAATTCATTTAATTGTTTTAGTTCTTAGTGTTCTTCTGAGTTTAGTTAGTTCTTATCTTAGTGATGTTCTGGAACTTCTGAAACAATTAATTACAAAATTGGCAATACTTCAGACGTTCAATGGGATTATTAATAAATAAATAATAACTATGAACTTCACATTTTTCAACAACAAATTAGGTGAGCTAATATTTCTTTCGAGTTTAAAGTTTATTTTCTTCTATTGTTTGAAAATGCCGGTTTATTTTTAAAATTTATCCATGATTCTAAAAATTTATAAATCATTATATTGTTGATTTTAACCTATGGTAAACGCGATCTATCGCGCGATCGAGGGGTTTCAACCGATGTACAAGACCGCATTTCTTTGAAATATTTTTAATATTTTAAATTTTGTTTATTATAATTTTTTTAGAAAAACGAAATCTGCGAATCGGTCTCAAATTTTGTAAACTACCACCCCTAGAATTTAGTGCCATAAGTTCGAGAACACCCTGTATAACGGTTGGTTATTTCCAATTTAATATTGTAAAGTAATTTCTAATAACGGCAAATGCCTTACCCCTTCGTTGTGGTTCCAAAAAATGTACGCCGGTGGCTCGGGACTATTCCGGACGACGCAAGTGAGGTTAATAGTGCTACCTCGATCAATGAAGAGCTCCGGTCCGCCTACGATCTCTGTATCCGGTTCTGGAACATTAAAAATAGCACAATATTAGCTTGCCGCCGTTATGGCTCAGGTGGAGCGCGAATTCCCCCGTACGGGTTGTCCCGGGAATGGGGAGATTCGATGCACGGCCTATTTACCGGCGGTCATGCATGATCCCGGAGTGCACGAGCACGTGAAATTGAAATATGTCGCTCGATAAATGATTTATTTACCTAGTGATGTTGGCGTAAAAATAATTTTAAACTTTATAACTAATAACTTCTTAGGTAAAGTGGGAAAAACGGGCGAAAGTCATTTATTATCAACGCGATTTGGGCAGACCCCACTTGGCGATTATTAAACTTTCATCCTTTTTAGGACAATATTTGTTATTCATGGAAGATGCTCGGGCGGCGGTGGCAGGTGTGGAAAGAAACATTCCGGAGACAAATAAAGGATAATCGTTTCCATACACTCCGGAACTTTTACCTCACAATTTATTTATTTTCCGATTATTTATAATTCACATCTAGCCTTTCCACAATAACATCAACCCCGTTTTATTTTTTTTAATCAACGAGACTTTACGATCCCCCCGGAGTGATAGTACGCTAAATTATACATCTTCTATATTGAAATCTCAGTGCTAAATGTTAAATTCCGCGATACCGGTTTTTATTAGTTTATTAAAAAAGTAAACGCGATAACGCCGGAATTAATTGCGGAAAATTTTAATTACCTTCGAGTAATGAAATTTCGACGTCGTCATAACCTATGTGGAAGAAATAAACTTTTATTAGGGATATAATCTGTTAAATTTCGACGTAAAGCATTGAGGTAAAAGGGCAAATAAATTCTCTGTGGGCCATTAGATTATGAGGTGTTCTACGGCACGACACCGGGTGTATATTTAATTTGTAAAAAGTATGTAAACGCCGTAAAACTTATTACGACTTTTTTTTTAATTATTGTTTTCTTTGCGAATATTATTCAGAAGATTTTAACAGCAGATTCAATCTGGTTAATTAATGTAGCGTTCTCGTTAAATAAACCAGCCGCGGAGAATTTTGTGAAATATTACAAACTGGTTATCTGCTTTTGTCCACCATTTCTAATCAGTTTTAATACGTTTCGTATGTGGACGGGGCCATAAAAATCCTCGGAAGTTCGATCGAATGAAATTTATATCGAGCAAAAGTTTTTGGTAGACGTTGGATAATAAAACTTTTGTCAAACTGACTTATTTTACCTCTTTCCTCGTTCGATCGATACGTATTTTTCGGGTATTTACGAGTAGATTAATTAAAAAAGAGAAGGAATATTCTCCGCTTGTTAAATTTAATTATATTTCTCTTCCAACCTTGTAGGTAATTGGCTTTAAAAATAGAAAGCGAAGGAGCGTATTTTGGATTTCTCCCATTAAACATAAAATAGGTATTGATACAAATATTTTCCGGGTAGATACATAAAAAAAAACATTAATTTACTTTCCTTCAAAAAATATGTAAACACTACACGAAAAACATCGTAAATATCGAATTTTGTATTTGTTTGCCTCTACCCGGGAATAAAGGAGGAGAAACATTCAACAAAAGAATGGAATTAGTGAATAACATCGGAATTATACTATTACGTTGTTCGTTCCTTCGCTCAGTTTTTTTAATTCATCTCCATTGTGCTCCTTTCATTAGGTAATATGTAAAAAAATCCAATTATTGATAAAAAAAAATGAAAATTGGTAGCTACAGATCGATAGAAATAACAAAGGATATTTAGTCTACTGCCCATTGAACCTTCGCTATTCCGTACTCGAATTAGATAACTGTTACTGTTAGTGGTTTTTCATACGACAATCCAATCGGAACATTTTCGCATTGTCACCGGCTTTCCGCATGAGGAAATAAAGTTTTCAATTCGCCTTAATGACACACTTGGCTCCTTATCAGCGTTTAAAAGAAAACTACCTTTCCCAGGCCAACCTAATAGTTTTCAGACGACGTTAGTTTTCATTCTACGTGTATACGAGTAGCGTCCGGAAAATCTTCCGCCTTCGAAATTAATTTAAAATTCCACTTCAAATTCTACTCTACGCCGTTATAAATCTTGGATTAATATTTAATTAAATTAGAACGGCCCGTCTCGGGCTGGATTTTTACATTACTTATAATTAGAGTTGCCGGAATTTATTTTTAGTTATATTTATTAGAGGGCTTTTAAGTGAATACATCATGGTAGAAATAGTGACGTGGTATATAGACGTAACGCTTATAGCTACAAGCTATTTCAATAGGACTGTGTGTTATCAGAATATTTTCCTTAAAGTTTGGCGTTTTAACTGCGCTTTTGAGACATGAAAAAAAAGACGTCGTTCGCTATCGAAAATATCCATAGCGAGAAGATATTTAGATTCGAAGGGGCTGATTGCGCGACGTCGTTACGCGACACCTAGACAAATTGAACGTTTTGATACGGGTCGACAAAAGGTGTAATCGAATGAAAATCGGGCGAAAGCTCGACGTTGTTGATTAGAAGGGACGTCGAGTTTAAGGTATTACCGAGCATTAATTAAATTTTCCTCAACGAAAATCCAGCGTATGTAAGAGGCGCCTTCGCTCGATTATCGACGTTTTCCATATAATACTAATACGTAGGTAATATTATCGATAAACTAACGAGACAAGCACTATCTTAATTTTTCAATTTTCAAAAAATAGCTTTCAACAGCTACTTCAACCGCACCGTACATACATAACATGTAATATTATAGACACTTACCGACTACAGTGAGATAAATGAAGTGCGATAGGTGTGGAGTGGAGGATATTTGACACTCGTAAACGCCCGTATCCCTGTGCTGGGGATACTTGATTTGCAGCGTCCAATCCTCGGAGTTCGGCTGGTGGATGGCCCTAAATCTTTGATCGCTGGTGTAGGTGTAACGACCGACTGTGAGCAGATGCACGTCCCTGTGTCGCACCCACGACACCTGCGGAGACATCTGCAAATAAGATTTTTGTCGTTCTGTGCATTGCCTACGAAGCGGGTGATGAGTTAGTGTTTCTTATGGATTATAGCAGGATTGAATGTATTTTTGGGGAAACGGAAATGTAATTCCTATCCCGTACACTTTCGAACTATTTTTAATGCGATAAACTCGCCGTAAATTATCGTTTTTTTTTTCGACTATTCGTATTTGCTGGATTTTATCGGTTTCTCGGGAACATAACTTTTGCCGAGTTCCTCGGGAATTTATCTAACAGTAAACTCCACTTTATCAGAAATTCGAAGCGACTTTATGTACACAAATTCGGTTACTCATTTTACGACTTCGCGAGGTATCGGGCCTGTTAATTGATGGTCCTCTTTCCGGGTTTTCCCCTTTTTCCTGGCGTCGGGCTTTTCATAAAATCCGGCTCCTCACGATCGTAAAAACACGGCGCATTAGGATCCAAATCGAATCCGACATTTTATTGACCCCGGCATTTTAACATTCATTATTCTGTAATTATTGCGTACTTATTTATTTAACGGGAATCTGGAAAGGTCGTTTAGTACGAAGCTTATCGACTGCGCACATGTATTGGGACATTTAATTCGAGTCTTTAATGGAGATGCGACAGGGTTAGTTTTCTTCATGCAATCATCGCGGACAGAAGTCTTAAATGAAATCCGCCTTTCGACTGTGATTGATGTTCGCTTCATGCTGATCTAATGCACTCCGAGAAAAGGCTCAAGTCTCGGCAAAAATCAGGTGATTTTTCAAACGATTTAGGGCGGTGAAAGAACGCTATTCTTTCATTTTTTTGCTCAGCTGCCTTCCCTATTTATTATTTCCCTATTTATCCCTATTTATTATGTAGGTATACAAGTTTCTTCATTCAAATAAGTAGGTAATAAATATTATATTTCCATTACAACTATAATGTGTTTTAATGAGCATGAGATTTTATCGAAATTTAATCACCTAGAAAATTGGATATCCTTCAATAAACTAGTAGATATATGTTAAAAAACCATGTAATTTTCCTGGTGTAATCTACGAAATTTATCTCGAATATCGGATATTGATTTTCCGGGCGATCTTCGACGGATTTCAATCAAATTGCATAAGACAAATAATATATCACTTCGGTGTTTATAAATCTTCGGGAGGAGGTAATCTTCGCCAATCATCCCCCGGGACCGGGAATGGGACGGTGAAAAAGCGCCGCTCTTTCGTTTCCATTCTCGCTCCAATATACAGGATGATGGTTCCCGAAAAATTACTATAATATATTTTTAACTCTGAAACATATGTTCTTCGATCTCGATATGGGAATTTGCGGTAACGGGACGAGCAAGAATCATTTACAATAAAATTTTACGGCTCGTAAATAAACTTTCCTCGTGTTATCACTGCAGCTGGAAAATGCCGTCGAATCTTAAAACCTAGACTATGTGCCGTAATTTTTTACCACGCTAATATTTCAGTATATAAATTAATGTTAATAATATAGTTGAATAAGTTGATTTCAAATGATTAAAGAATCTTTTAAGTAATAAATGTGTTTATGCAGAGGTATGTTGTTTAGTAGCATTCTGGCACATGATTTAGATTTTTATACAGTTTGTAGAAAAGTTGCAAATTCAGCAAAATAAATACGTCAACGTAGAATAAGGTATGTAAATAAAATAAAGCAAAAAGGCAATAAAAATAGGAAGAACATTCAATTATTCAGATCAAAAATTCGCCCCGAAATAGCACCGTTATTCCAACTATATTTGCTCTGCAAGCAATCCGGCCCGGATTCAATTCATCCCCGACAGGTAGATCAATTTGTTTTTCAACGCCGTGTCGTCGATTCGAAGCGGGTATTAATTGAGCATCTAACGTGACATTGGCCTCTTTCAGCTGTCCGCTGGAAGTATTTTTAAGCCATCGGGGCCTTTGAAACTCCGACGTACGCGAACGAGATAAAAAAAACTCGGCGTTTGTTTTGGTCCGGTTAGGCGAACAAAAACTTTTGCGGGACGTCGCGACGCTACTTCCACAACGACGACGTGATTTATTGGGGATTCATTGATGTAAGGGAATAATTGAATTTGTAGAATAAAAGCGGGTTCGAAAGAAGCTTACTGGCGTTGTATAGAGGAGGCTTTGTGAAGCAATTGATTTGGTAATTATTATGAATGCTTGTTAAGGGTGGTTTGTATTATTAATTTTGAGCTGTTCGATGAGAGGGAAATAGTTATGTAGGTGTTAATTAATTGTGATTAGCTTTTATTAATAATGGAGTTATCAATGTTGCATTGAAAGCTAATTATAGGCTATTCGAAAAATGGAAAATTCCCGAATTCTGCATAACATTCAATCCATCATCCCGCTAGCATTTTGCCTGCGCAGTGGATAGGTCATCCGGATAATATGGCGGGCGTAATGCGAACGTCCATGCGGAAAAATTACACATATACGGGAAATTTATTCACTTTTTGTTATTCAACAATACGCCGATGCAAATTTATGTGATTTTTTTACAATATTTACGTGGGATCGATAAAGCGGCGGCGGTGCATGTAAAAGCTGAGGCGGGTTTTAGCGGAGTCGCCCAAGGGAGAAGAACGGAGCTTTAGATACGGAAATTCATTAGCCGACAAGAAATATTTGCCACTAGGATATTTCATGAACAAAACAGATTAAGTTTTGTTAGTTTATTGCATACATAACTGCAGAGTATACTTTAGAGTTGAGTAGGTAATCAGTTCTCGCCTCTTACATCAGGAATTTGTATAATTAAGTTTGAGATGAACGTTTTAGAACGTTTGAAAATGTAATGCAGTAATACGCGCTGAGGCGCCTCTGATTTTGAATGTGTGCAATTTGGTGAAAATGGTATCGAATTCGACTTCATGGGCTCATAGAGGAAAATTAAATACGAACATGTCATAGGTCGTTTTAGGGAAAAAGGATTTAGTTGGAATTTATCCATCATTACCCATCAGCGAATATACTATTTATATGCGAAAATATATATCTGTTTATTCGGTTGAATAGATCGAGCTTCGATTAATTAAAAAAAACGTAAAAATAAACGGTGGATCATAACTGCCATTAGGCAGCGAATGTAAAGTTAATGTATGCGCAAACATCGTACGAAACAAAATAAAGTTAATGAATCGCATCTCATCCGCAGTGCGCCCCCTTCGTCTCGACAACTTCATTACAAACTTAATAAACTTCACATCGACGCGGCGTACCGACGCCATTTATCATTGTATACCATTAAAAAAACCGACGTTCGGAAGTAACGTTTTTAAAATATGTGTACCATAAATTTTACAAGCCATCCTCACGTGCGACGACAGAACGTAACCGACTACTGAATATGGAGACATAAATTCGAGGGGTTTTCCATTATGGAATTTGTCGCCGGCAGTAAAAACGAGAAACGCCCGCATTTTAGTTAGTTTGTTTAGATGCGGCTAGGTGACGAATTTTGTAGCGAATTAACCGATGTTACATCTAACAATGGCCGGGTATTTCCAACACAAATGTTATGTAAAAACGGAATATAAAATTTGGTGAATGCGCCAATACAAATCAATGTGAATATTTCAATTTTCGGTGGAGCCGCTTTATAAAATTTGGCGGATGCGCCGATACAAATCATTGTAAGTATTTCAATTGTTGGTAGAACCGCCTTGTTTAAGAATTGGCGCTAGCACAAATTTAATTATCTTTGGAATAAAGAATTTGGTACGAGTATGAAAATCGATTATAAAAGAAGTAGCTCAAAATTTCATTACCATTTCTGTGTACGAATAGGTACATCTTTACGTTCACCGTCAGCAGTTTTATTCATTTTCATGGCATATTCGGAGAACGGAATAAAATAAAAGCAAAACAATAATACGCCTCGCCGCACAGAGACGGCGACTCCCTTTTCAAAACAACGGAAAATTGTTAGATAATTAAAATATCCGTCGGCGAGGGATTTCTTTTTTTTTATTTAACCGACGGAGATTCATTACGAAAATACAATGCTTCATCGTCGCCGGTGGAACTCTTTCATGTAACCACATTACGTACGACAAAACGATTATCGCCCGAGATAGGTGCGTGGAAAGCGCTCTTGGCCCTGCACTGCGACAACCCTCAGCGATTTGTTTTAATAAACTCGTCGCGACGTCCGGAAATTTTCCAAAAGAATCGTTTTCCACAAGTTACAATTCCTAAGAGACGTGCCAACACCACAAAAAACGCGATAGATTTAGTAATAACTTTTAAAAACTATTCATGCTTTATTAACACAAAAGGGTAAATTACCAGTTGGTTTTTACTATAAAATTGAGGGTGAAAAATCGGCTGGAATTGAAAGTATTTTGCATTTTTTTTTCGAGAATTTGCTCTCTGGTCCCTCGGTTGTATGAAGGCTCGCATAGCCCTCGAGGAATTCCTGCCCCATCAGCGATTTTCCTCGGGAACTCTTTAAGTCGCCGGCCCGATGGCGATATTATGGAGATTTTTCGCTCGAAATTCGAACGAGAATTGTGTGCCTTTTTTAGAGTCGAACGGATTAGTTTGAGTAACCTGTTTTGTATTCGTAATTTAAATTTCCAAATGCAGTTTATTTCTCGGTCGCTTCCTTTTGTAGCCGAAAGAGCGTTTTTGGTAAATATTTTATTTAAAGCGGCGGTATATTTTTTAGGTTTTTTTCCGAAAATTCCCTCTTCGTGCCGGGGATCACGAAATCGAATAAATTATGCACGATGCGGAGAGATTTTATTGCTGAAAAATTGTCACATAGCCCTGACTCAAATAATAAAAGGAGAAGATAGTAAAATGAGAGGAATTGGCCAGACCCTCGATCCCGATATTATCGCACGAAAAGGGACAATTTCATTTCAACCTATTTCACTTTATACCGCAAACTTCACGCAAAAAACCATAATTACCAATCGTTAAAATCTCCATAGGTAATTGGTGAATTACTAGTTAAATTCCAACACAACAATCGTTATCTAATCGCACGCTGAACGCGAACAAAAGAAACCAATTCCCATCAGTCCAATTGAACGCCATTAAACAACGGGTAATTCAAATTCCGGGAGTAGAGCAAAAATTTCCGGGTAGCGAACTATAAATCTATTCCGGTGCATTCCGAAAGCGAAGTTTTGAATTATGAACGCAACAAAACGCCGGACGAGGTTCGATGTTAGTTTCAATTATCTTCCCCGACACTTAGTCGCGAAAGGTATTAAAAAGTAGGTGTGTACGTGCAGCGCTCCCTAGTTTATTAACACGAACTAATTCCACGGGAAATATTAAAATCCCCGGGGATCGGGCTGACAATCAATCACGTCTTTATGTATACCTGCAATCGATTGTATGAAGAAGATTGGATATTATTAGAAAATTCAATAAATCTCATAAGGTGAATTGAAAATGAAGTTTGTAAAATTTGTTATGTAAGACATAATAATTCTCCTTATTAAGCTGGATGAAATTTTCATACCAACCAGTAAACATCAAATAAACTAATCATTATTCAAATAGCATTCCAACAACTTAACTATATACAATATTAACATTGAATTATATTTGCATATTAAACCTAATTATTTCGGGGGCATTCAAACAAAAATGGTTATTACGTCGTTGCGAAATAATAGGACGCGAACGCCTCGAATATATTTACCGCACAATTTTGAATTAAGTTCCATAAACTAAACAATATCATTGTAAAAGTAAATTCGAGTGGAGTTTACATTAGCTTTCCATATTGTTATGCAAACATCGTTCTCTGTGTACATCCGATTCAGGATCGCGAGGAATTGAACATTGGCTTGAAATGCTCTCGTTCCTGCTGCTACAAAGTTCGTATACACTCCTTCAGTAGCGCTGCTGATGGTGCTCGACAATTACTTTTGTGTTCTGTGTGCATTTTGTCGCAAATATTTAACTACTAAAATTCCTATTTTTTGTGATAGAGGTCCCTTTTAGATTCCTTTAACGCATTACATATTTGCAATACTGCATTTCCCCCTAACTGTACTTCTTGTACTGCAGAGTATGTTGCCTAATCACCTGGCTTGGAAGGTTTATAAACGTATAATTTTTCTAATCATGTGCTCGATATTTTTCTCCCAATCAATCAAGTTCTGATTGTTTCTGATGAGTGAGTTTGAAGTGTGTAGAAATACTTTAGACGCCACTGATTTTGTTGTATATATAGAAGTTCGGGTCTGTTTTAATGTCAACTCTAATGAAAACCGAACTAAACGATATCTTGGAGAAAATTTAATGACGAAAACGGCTCTTCGCAAATGGACAAAAGGAGAATTGGGTCAATGGGGTTGAGATTACGTCCTGTTTACCATAATGGAGGCGAAGCTTGAGTTACTTGGAATCACGCACTAGCATAAAGAAAGTGAGATCGTTAGTTCGTAATCCAAAAAAAAGAAAAATATACGTGCGATATATGTGGTCGTGAAGGGATATTTACCGTTCGATTTCCTAGATTTTTAACTCTGCAGTTTAGATAGGCGGTTTTTCCGAGTAAAGCTGAGACGTTCTTGGAAGATCCTGCATCGAAATAGGGTCCTCTAGTCGTCGTTTCCGTTAATGAATTCCCGCTATTCGTTATTTTGCTTTGAGCGCATAGTACTGCAAAAGAAAAAAAAAACATTTTAGTACATCTCTAATTCAATATTTCATTAAAAAAGTGCAATGAATAACGCACGAACTCAAGGAAAATCATAATCTTCCGGGTTTTTTAATTTTCGCGCAAACACGAATGACGAATGTAAACGGAACGTAACGACCAAACGTTACCCAGATTGCTTTCCGAGGAAACTTTCGGCCGCAATTATAAAATTGTAACCGGTTTTCTAAAATAATCGTCGGAAGTTCTTCCGGAACGGAAAAGTTTTCCGCACTTTTTCACTGTCTGCTCGGCTTCAATGCGGTAATTAAATCGTTGTATTGAAATGTTTCTGAGACACGTCCTATTCGAGAACTCCGCTCGCCATGCAACTCCTGAATAATTTCGAAAATTGGATGGAAGTTCGCCTAACCGAAAGCTAGTCATGCGATGGGTAATACGTTTCGGCATTAGCGGATATAATTTCTGTCTCTTTTGAACCGATTTTAATAACTAACGTAAACAAACCGTTCGGTCACGAAAACTTGCTTTTGTCTATAGCTTTTAAAAATATACCTATTTCTCTGGTTGGATTGTTGGATTGAATGTTTCCGTTCGCCATAAAATTGCGATTAAATTATGCACAATAAAACTTTCGAAACTAGTTTAAATGAATCTCCACTAAATCCAATTCGGACGAACAATCATACCCTTGTTAATCCTTCAAACGGTAGTTTTATTTACAAAGAACCTTCCCCTTGGATTTTACCAATCCTTCTAAACCCTTCGCCCTTTCAATTTACACCTTAATGAATTAATCGTAAATACCTGCATAAATTTCGTGAGACAATCTGAACTCGAATAATTAGGATACAACTTTTTCTTCGGTTAAAGATTATTCGAATAATAAGTACTTACGAAAGGAATATTAAATTTCGATACCGCGGGAGCAACAAAACGGCCGGAGCTTTTCGAGATATTAAATAATTTCTGTTCTAATCCGCTTATACGCGGCTGAGGCCAAGCGTTCGTAAAATTAGGATTTCGAATGCACGGAATTATGTAGACCTTAATTACGGCGGACTTGTTCTAACTGTTTTTCAGTCAATGAATGCGGCGAAATTCGCGAAAATTCGCTGTTCCGTAGGCGCCGTTTCGACGAATTCAGGGCGTAATTAGCCGGGAAATTCGCCAGGTGGTGCCCGGATTATGCCCTAAATATAGATCCTCCATCTTCGGCGGCCTTTCTTTTCCGCCTATAGGCGGGCCCGATGAAAGAATTTCGACAATTCGATTCGATCCCATTCAAAACAACCGATAATCGGATAATGGGTCGTTACTCGCACAATAAATATCATCGGCGCGAAACGTAAATTACATCTGAAGTCTATCATTTAAAACGAACGCTTAGGATGTCGCCTTCTAAATTCATTATAAGAGATTAGTCAAGTTTCGACATGGATTTAATATCGCCTCGCCTGCCAACTTCCTCCTCCGCCTTATTACAAACTTTGCTCGCCCGATATTAGAACACAATAACATTTTCATAACAATGCACCACCTCCATACCTGCTCGTTAATTAGTCTAGAGGAGACTATAATGATATAGTCGAAAGTTTGGTTTAATTCGATCAAGACTAAACAAGTATATTTATACAGGGCGACTGGTTATTTAATTTACCATGCTCGAATATAAACCCTTCCGGTGCGCTCCGTTGGAAATTTCAGGGCTTTATGTCTCGATGCCCTTTGCTATATAAGAAAACAATCAATGGTCCATATCTAATAAAAAATATATGAGTCGGAAGAATTACGCGCCCGTAAATCATCGGCTTCTCTTGCTCATGAAATTCAAAAGCGGCAGCGAAGGAGGCCGAAGGAAAATGTTTAGAAGAATTGCAATAATTTCGGGTTTTTTTGCGTGATTTCTCTGTGATTAAACACTCACTAAATCTATTCCGATTTTACCTTACATATTTGTGGAGTTCTTGGGAATTTTCGCGTTTTACTTTTCACTTAGGCCGGTCCCGGTTTTTTTCACTTACTTTCCGATTTTTTTTGCCGCGTTCGACATTCCCGGCACGTCCCTTATTACGATTCATTTCTCGGGGGGTTTAAAAAGTCGCGGTATGAATAGCGAAGAGTAAATAAAGTAGAAATATCCAAATGATAGAGGCGATTTTTATGATACGGAACTGTTTACGTTTCCACCGAATAAACACCGTTAAACGTACAATTAAGGGAGAATTATATGCATTAAAATTATTTTTTAGAGGTATCAGTTTTAATTTGGCATAACGCGAATAAAATTCGAACAAACAACAACATGAAACAATTAAATTTTGTTTCGCGTAAGTACATTCGCCGTTGGACAGTTCAATTTGCGTATCGTCGAATTAATTAAAAAATACAGCAATGGCGAAAGTAAATTTTTGTTACGTAAAAACAACGAGAATATCGGATCCTGTAATTTAATTCGAACAACAAATCGTTATGCTCTTCGGAATTGTTCTGATAGGTGTACGTGATTAATTATTAAACAAGTTTTAAAATAAACCTTTGTCATTTCACGCGACTAATTACATTAGCACTGTTTCTATCCAACTCAAAACTCCTGGCGATGACGGTGGGCTCATTAATTATTTTGATACAAAAAAAAATCCGGGCCCATTTAGAACTAATCAAGGTAAGTGACTTTTTTCATTTATTTCCCCCCTAACGGCTTTTAATGTAACAAGAAAAAATATAAGCGTTCTTTAATAAAAACATCGTATATAATCGTCACTTCAAAATGAGCATCAAGTGTATACGACGTTCGATCGCTATATATTGAACGCGCCCGGTACATTTATTTAATAATTTATTGTTGATTACTCCGAAAGAAAAACCCTTTAGAGTGCAGGGCTACTGCCATTTATTATACATCAGCTCTTATCAGTTCAAACGTCTCCTTTTATTGGAGCATTAAGCCGACGTCCCAACCGAAAATGTTTCTTTTATCTAGTTTTATTGGAAAAAGAGGAACACCACTCGAGATGAGGGCTATATTTAGCCGAAGATGTGCCACAAATAAAGGATATAAACGCTTAAGGATCGAATTTAAGCAAACGGGACGTGGATTATACCGAAAAAACAATTCGTAATTAATTAGTTTTTGCATTATGTATTCATTTAATTACGGGTTTTTCTTGTATTTGACAAACGGGGTAATTAGGCTTTGATTAAGGAGAGCTTCGTTTAAAGAACAAGTGGGTATAATTACGAATTTATACTGTTTCTCTCGTTTCGAGCGTTAATAATTGAACAAAGAAATGGGAGAATCGATCAAAAATTCAATTCGCAAAATATAAAAATAGGAATCCTCATAAATGTAGAGTGCCCTTTAGAAGATCGAGTAAATTCCTCCGGGCCAGAAATCATTGGGCGCAATTCCACCGCTAACTGTTACATTTTTTTTCGCGATTTTATTCCCGCATTTATGAAGCTCTTTAGATTCTTCGCGGTATTTCTCTTGGGCGGCCTAAGAAAATAACCGAAAAGTCAAAGGAAGATAAATAGAACGTCAAAAAACAAAAGATGAATGGACATCGAACAGTTTTCGAATTCATGCAAGTACAGCAGAAGGTCAAAGTGGCTTTTCACGTTCCTGCATGATTGATTTATTCGTTTGAACACGCCCTGAATATAATAATACACATCGACAAGAATAGTTGCGCATACGACCTTCACGTCTCTAGATATAACCTTCGGTCTGTAGATAAAATATTTGGGGTGAATTTTTTTAATACACTCGCTTTTTCGCGGTGATTCGTAGACGCTAAATAAATTTCGTTAGGTTGGTATAATGCTTTATCTAAACAAAAACATAACTTACTCAAAGCACAAACATCTTAATGTAGATTGCTCTGTATAGACAAGCCGGAATGCCCGGAGGTGATATTTAGCTTACATTATCCTTTGCAGGGTACAACAGCCGCATTGGCGAAAGCTCCGGGCCGTGGAAATATCGAACGAAACCGTGTATACAGGTGAAACGGGATCGTTTTCGCGATCAAATTCGCTGCGAAGCACGGCAGTTATACATCAGGACCGGTTAGGAGGCTCAAACGCGACGGAATAAAAGCTGCACTTCCCGTTTTTAAAGTCTTTATCTACACCCATCCAGTCGAGCCGGGAAGGATTAAGGGCCGTAATTAGATACTACTCCCAACTACGTACATAGTTTTCGGGCTGTCGAGCTCCGTTGTCTGCGAGATAAAATATTCTTTCGTGCTTTAACTATTCAGTCGGATCCGGATGCAGTCGCATCTCGAAATGGAAATTATCCGGTTCAGTTAGGAAACGTTGTGTGCTCCAGGTTGACATAATTTCCTTTCTAACTTACTCCCAACTAAATCCTACACTAATTACAATTCGGTTTATTATTTTTAGAGTTCATGTAGAAGTCATAACAATTTTTGATATTATGAAATTTCCAGGTCGGAATGCATTAAAGTTGATTGAACAGGGCCCGGCAAGGGAAACAGAGCTGGTTAATTTTTCATGCGATTTGTCACACTTTGCGATATTTTGTAACACCTAACGTAACGCAAAAATAAACTTTCAGCGTAACGTTGTAAATAGGTAATTAATTTCTATTGTACGAGGGTTTCTACAAAAGAGTATTAGCTGTGCGGACGTTCGTTTGTTGTGCCAGCGGTTGACAAATTGATAAAGGTCAACGGAAATAAAGCGTGGAATGGAGTGCTAGAAATAAAAATGACGGTAATTTTTCTGCGGGCTTATCGAAAAACCGATGATAAATCTTTGGGGGAGGTTTAATAACTTTTTAGGAGGATCCGCGGTCGATTCGTAGACGAAGAAATTGTTTCAAGTGTTTTTTTCTCAGCGAGATGGGTGTTGCTAAATAAATTTTCTAAAAGAAAAAACACACCTAATATTCGGAACAAAAAGACCCATTATGAATTCATCCATGATTGATACCCTTATCCGCGATATTTTCCCTTTTCCGAGACAGCTTTTAGTGAAACGAACGAATTGAAAAAAACGCCTGTTCTAAATTCATACGGCTTTGCCCGAATAAAAGGATAAAAGTTAATTTTTTTGACGTTCGCTATTCTACATATTTTAAAATAATTCATCAAATTTAAGTGAACTTGAAATAACTGACAAATTATTAATACCTACGTTAAATGATATTTAAAAAAAATACAACAGCTCGTTTGAATCCCCTTTGGAAAATGCATTGCTCTCAAACAACACCCGTTTTTCCCCGGTGGAAGAGAAAAATGAAAAAAACAGCGGAGGAAAAGGCCATGAATATAAACAACGCGCAATGCAAACTATGAGAAGAGGGTGAAATGAATCAGAAAATCTATTTTTCGGGCAGTTAAAGGCAGTTTAAACGGAGCTGCGATATTATTTTCGAATCTGCGGAAGCCGGCGGAATCCCACTATATCACCCGGCGTGCGAAATTTCGAAGGGCCGGAATGTGAAATATAAAAATCGAAAATTAGGCACCCTCCACCTACACGTTCGAATTTTCAAGTGGCGCGAATAATATTTTTCTTGCTTGGCAAAAAAGTTGGTAAACATCGTCGAGAGTCTATGCGAAAGTCGCC